TGGGACCCACTCCTTAGCTCTTTTAGACCACAGATTTCCAGCTGCCCAGACATGAAACCCCATCTGGCAGGTTGCCTTGAGGTGTGGCACTTAGGAGACCACATTGGAGAGGGTCACTAACGGACAGTCTGGCCACTCCTAGCTACTTCTTAGACTTTGGTGCTACTGACTCTAAGCTACAAGTTCAACTCAGGTGAGGCTACCTGGACAAATGAAAAGGGTCCTTGTTGAGGCCCTGGTGGAAAGATGGGCACCGTTGGACTTCGGAGGTGTAGTTCCCTAGGATAAAGCACTGTGCCTGGGGCTAGCTTGCAGGTGAGCAGGACTTACCTGGGACCTCTATGAAGGGGCCACAGCCCTGGCTGGTTATAATAACCCAGAGAAGGAGCTGCGAGCTGGAGACAGGAAGGCTTAAGAAGGAGCGAAAAGACAGAGGCTGACAGAGATATGGAGACACAGACCAGAGTGGCTGAGCAGCTGTGGGGAGCTGTCACTGAGACTCTTATATTAGCACATACAGGCAGGCTTGCCGTCACTATAATCAGGCAAATTAGAGAACCTTGATGTGCCGTTTTACACCCACTAAATTAGCGAACATTAGCAAAGTTATAACAGTGCATGCAGCTTATATGGTAAAACCAACCTAAACATACTGCCAGCTCAAGTGTGAATTAGCACAGCCCTTTAGGGCTCCGGGGCTATTAAACTGCTCATACCTTTTTCCCATCTTAATTCCGCTCCTGGGAATGTGTTGCAAGGAAGTAATTCAGCAGGATAATAAATGCTTTGTACATAAAGATGACCAGCCAGGGCTATCTGCTGCACCAGTGGACTAGAGTACAGTGCTATAAATCTCTTTGTTTTGAGACGGGGTTTCACTGTGTAGCCCAGGCTGTCCTTGAACTTGGAATCCATCTACCTTAGTCTTCTCAGGACTAGGCATGAGCAGCCACATTTGGTACAACTATTTTTAAAAATAGGCAATAAATTTAATTCATTACACTATCAGGATTCTTATGTGAAGATAAAAACACCTATACATTAAAATGAACAGTTACATAAATGCTGCTTGGAAAGCCTTGGCAGCCCCACCCTGCTGAGGTCCTGGATTCTGGCTGCCCAACTGGTTGGCCAGTCATCCCACCCTTGCCGTACTCAGCCTGCCCTGCCACTCCCTGTCTGGAACTGCCCTAGGTGATCTTGACACCTAATCCACAGACCTCAGGCTGGGGTGGGCTGGGTACTGCGTCAGCAGAGCGTGCCCACCTCGCTTGCCTCATGTGGCTGCCCTAGGGATTTGGAGAGGGGCTCTGTGAGTCATATCTGGAAAGGCCAAACCAGAAAAAGATAAGGGATGGTGGAGGCAGGTCTTCTGTTAAGAAAAGGGCTAAGGTGGTTTCCAGGTCCTAAGGCGTTTGCTCTGTGCAAGCACGGCAGTCTGTCAAAGTTGGCTGCTGTCTGGATTCCTGGTTGGAGCATCAGGGGGATGAAGACAGCTTAGGCACTGGAGATCAAAGAGGAGGGATCTTGGGGTCACCTCTCTCGGCCTGCGCTGACTTAACATTAGGCACAGTCTGACTCTGCACCTGAGTCATCAGTTCTGGGTCTTCTCCCTGTCCCTGGTGCCCATCACAGGAGCTGGCAGTCAGGGAGAATTCAACAAACTGGGTGAATGAGCAGGCCCAGGGACAAGGCCGTGCCATATGTGAAGGAGCAAGCCAGCAGACAATGCCCTCTTTGTGCAGTGCCTTCCAAACGGGCACTAATCATGCACAGGGGATGCTGCGCCCCTCGAGTCCTTTTCTCTGCCAGGGGATGTCCCACCACACAGAGGCCAGGAACAGCCAGTGACCGCGTCCAGGTCCAGACAAGCCAACCTTGTTCATTCGGTCCAGGGTTATCCTCTGGACACAAAGAGGCTTTATGACGGCCCCTGCTCCTGGTGCCTTCAGTGTCATGGCAGAGACAGGGACAAACGAGGAGGTGAAAGTATGGAGTGTGCACATGGAGGCCGCAGCAGAGATGGTCATGGTGGGGAGTGCAAATACCAAGAGGGGACTTTCGGGTAGAGGGCTGGGCCTACAGGAATGGCGGTCTGTCTCACACAAGGAATACAGCAGGCCTGGGGCAAGTGTAAGTCTACTGGGGTCTCCCTTGACTCTGCCCTTGAGCCAGTCAATCTGGCCCTGGATGGAGCAGAGTCGGCATCAGTCTCTGTGTCCAGACTCCTAGGACTCTGAATTCACCTCGGTCATTCATTCTTCACTCACTGACTCATCTGTTCATTCCTCAGCCGGGGACCATGTCCAGGTCCGTCCACAGCTGCTGGGGGCCGAGTACCATTACAGGTTTGAGGGGTACACGGTGAACAAGTTAAAGCTGTTGCCCTTCTGTGGGCAATGTAAGACAGCCGTGATTGCTCTGAGTGATGTAACCTCTTGTTGTGACAGACAGACTGTTGTGGAGAAAGACAGGAGTCACAGTGTAGGACTGAGGGGAAACTGGCATAGATTTCATCAGGAGACATTTCAATGGTATCTTAGTCACCTTCTTGCTGCTGTGTTAAAACACCATGACAAGGAAACTTACAGAAAGAAGAGTTTGAGCTTATGGTTCTAGAGTTCATGATGGGGGAATGAGAGGCATGGGGGCAAGAGCTGGATGCTGAGAACAGAAGCTGAGAGCTCATCTTTTTTTTTTTTTTTTAATTTTTGAGACATGGTTTCTCTCTCTCTCTCTCTCTCTCTGGTCTTTTTTTTCGAGACAGGGTTTCTCTGTAGCTTTGGTACCTGCCCTGGAACTAGCTCTTTTAGACCAGGCTGGCCTTGAACTCACAGAGATCCGCCTGCCTATGCCTTTCAAGTGCTGGGATTAAAGGTGTGTGCCACCACTGCCCAGCTGAGAGCTCACATCTTAACCCACAGGCAGGAAGCAGAAAGGGACTGGAAAAGCCAGAGTCTTTGAAATCGCAAAGCCCACCTCCCAGTGATGTACTCCTAGCAGCAAGGCCTCTGCTTCCAGACAGCACCACCAGCTGGAGACCAAGTGTTCAGTGCTGCAGACTATAGAGGACCTTTTACTCAAACTGCCGTAGGTGGCAAAGCTAAGTGGTGTAACACCTGAGTAGTGTAAAGAAGCAGATCACACACACACAGAACTAAAGGCCTCATGGCAAGAACTAACTATAGCAGGTTTGGGGTGGGGGCAGTGGCCCAGGACATCTAAGCCGGATTCGAGTTCAACAGTGTTCTTTATGATTCTGACATCCACTGGGGTCCTAAGCAGGGTTTCCATGGGTTTCTGAGGAGGACTGCAATCTAGGTCTACCTGTAGATCTAAGGCTTTATATTATGTTGAAAAACCCTTCCTTTTTTTTTTTTTTTTTTCCTGAGCCCAATGTGTCATTTTGTAGTTTCTTACCCTTTGATTCTAGCTCTTGAAGCCCTTTTCACAGCAGAACAAAGCACCAGTCTGGCCTTTCTGTCTTAGAATTGACCGTCCCCTGCTCTTCTGATGACCTCCAAAGTTCCTCCCGGGTGCACTGCAGAGCGCTAGGCAACTGGTCCTTAGGCAGCAACAGCTGGTGTTTAAGGGCACCATCCCAGAGGAGGCTGCCCACATTCTGGCGCTGCTTCTTCCCAGCCAGGAATGCTGGGGTAACGTAACTCAACCTCTTGACCCCTAGTCTCCTGACCTACCTCATCCAGACCGGAGGAAGGCCTGGGTGCTTTCAGCAATGCCTGAGGCAGTGCCAGAGCTCAGTAGACAGTCTGCTGCGAGTGTCAAAATATCCCCCCCCCCCAAACCAGAGAGGACAGAAAGAGTCCTTTGAGTCCACAAGGCCATGCCCAGTGGTACTTTGATTTTTCCAAGATGAACACAGCCACGGTCCGAGTCTCCACCACAGGACCTTGCCTGCGTGGCACCCCCTCCTGGTTTCTGCTGTTCCGAAGTGTAACCTTTGCAGCTGCGGGGACTGGCTGACCTCTGCTGTCCATTGTCTGTATGGCACCAAGTGAGCTGGCTTTGTATGCTACTCAGCCAGGGAGACCTCAGCAATGTCCTTTTCTCCACGACTTTTGACGGTCGTTCTCAGTAGAGATGTACTCTACCCTGGGACTGTATACAAACATCTCACAAGGCAACTGTCATTTTCACTATGAGGAGAACTCTGATATACTGTGGTTTTTGTATTTTACCTCATGAACAAGAAGAAAATGCTAGTTACATTAAACTTCTGTATCCAGTGGAATCTGAAAACACTGGTTCAGCCTTCCAACGAGTCCTGACTGAGCTTCCCAACCTTGGTGTGCACCAGGCCTTCAGTCACACCCAAGCTTGCTGCTCATGCAATCAGACTATCCTTCCTTTAAATCAATGAACTTAAACCTTTTAAATGCCCACTCTGGCCTACATAAAATACTGGTGAGATCACAATGTTGAGGGCAAGCTGGTTTTTTATCAAAGACAAACTAAAACAAAAACTATCAAAATGATATGCAAAAAAAAAAAAGTTTCTGGGCTTTCTAATCTCCCCTTGCATTCCACGCCTCAGCTGGAGAACTAGGGATTTTGTCCACAGTGGGGGAAGTGCGCCACCTATAGGTGGATTTACTTATCCACAGAACTGCCCAAATGTCTGTACAGACACTGAAAAGTTCTGTGAATCGTCATTTGCAGAGGTTCTGATTTGTCCCATGATGCATGATAGACCTGATTCACACTGAGATTTACTACTTCCATTTTTGTCCTTACTCAGAAACCAATGAGTTTTTCAGACCCTGACTTTCTTCTGTAGGTCCTTGGCAAACTCAGAGGCCCTCAGATTACAGCCCGTCTTAACTAATGGATGAAGTAGCCTTAGGTTTGAACACACGCTAAGGAGCTTTAAGTCCCTCTCTTCTGGCCTTTTTAAAGGACAATATGGACAGGCCATTGATATTAAGTATGTGTTTCCAGCAGTGAACTCTGCTGATGAACGGGGTCAGAGCCCTACAGATGACCCAAGTGCTGTGTGCCAGGGGAACAAAGGGAGCAGAGTAGCTTGACGGTTTTTGAGTTTTTTATTTTAGGACCAGGGTCCTGTTTATAAAAGAAATCTTATGAAGCACAGAGTAGACCTGGGGTGGACGATTTCTTAACAGACATGCAGGTGAATCTGTGAGGGTATCCAGAGGAATCGCACCAAGTGCCTGCAAAAACGGGTAAGTTTTCTCCAGACAATGGCAGGTGCAAGCACCCATGGAATCCTTAAGCTCTCAAACAGTTCTAAGCTCTAAAGAATTCTTGAACCCTTGAACAGACCGGCTGCCAGGCATGATGGTGCACTCAGGAGGTAGTGGCAGGCTGACAAGTCTGCTCCCCCAGTGAGAGCAGTCTCTAAAAACAAAGTGGGGGGAGGCATAGTGTTTTCCATGCCTCTTTGACAGTAACATATATGTTCGGACACACAAGTTTTGTTGACATGTCTTTAGACCGTAAAAGACTGTCCACACATGGGTGGGGCAGGGATGTTGTATAAACATAAACCACAGACCTCACCTGGGGACTCAATTATAGTTCCAACCAAACACTGAACAATTTTCTGATGGACTTTACTGGGGCCAAGCCCTCTTCTGGGAAACCATTCACAGTATTCAGTTCATATCAACCTTGTGAATAAATGGCCCTTAAAGTCAACAAGTCTCCCAGTCCTTAACTAGACTTCTTGTTTCCTTTTCTTTAGGTTAATGATGATGTCTCACTGTCCACTCTCTGTCAAATGGACTTATCAGATACTTGTTAGATGGGCTGCAACACTGTAGTAAAAACTCCAACTCCGGGCCAAGTAAAATGTCCAGGCCTGGCCTCCCTCAGTCCCTCCGTCTCTCATAAGCAATGCGATGTGTTCCAAGTTAGATTTTATTTCCTATTATTACTGTACGCATATATGGTAACTCTAAGGATGGATGCACTCGTGCCAGTGTCTGTGTGGAAGTCAGAGGACAGCTTCCCTGTTCCCCTCCTACCATGGGTCCTGTATCAGGCTTACTCATCTTCTACCTGCTGAGCCATCTCACCAGTCTTGTTTAATTAAAAAAAATATTCTGTGTGTGTGTGTGTGTGTGTGTGTGTATGTGTGTGTATGTGCAAGTGCCCAAGGGGGCAGGGAAAGGGTGACAGACCCCATGATGCTAGAGTTACAAGCCATTGAGAGTACCCAACCTGGGTGCTCGGAAATAAATTGGGGTCCTCTGTAAGAGCAGTAGGTGTTCTTAATCACTCTGTCTACATCTGAGCCATCTCTCCAGCTCCCTTGTTTTTAAAAATACTATGACCCACTAAATTGATTTCTCCAGACTTGAAGGTTAAAAATCACTGGGGCAGTATTCCTGGTAGGTCAGTTTATGAAGACAGAAACACAGCTGCCAATCATAAAATGAAACCAAAGAAGGAAATCAGGCAACATAAAGGCACACAGTAGGAGATGAGAAACTGGCTCCTGTTTTTAAAGAGAAAGCTGGGTTGTGGCACACGCCTTTAATCCCAGCACTTCAGAGGTAGAGATAGGTGGATCTCTAAGTTTGAGGCTAACCTAGTCTACAGAGCAAGTTCCAGGACAACCAGGACTACACAGAGAATTCCTGTCTCGGAAAACAAACAAACAAAACCCCACAACAACACAAACACAAAACTCATAACCACCATGAACAAATAAAAAAAAAAAACCCAGATTAAAGAGAGGGAGGGAGGGAGGGGGAAAAGAGAGAGAGAGTTAAAATTCAAAGAGGGAAGTGTTCCCTAAACTTTAAGAATATGCGTGTAGGGGCTGGAGAGATGGCTCAGTGGCTGAGTGGTGTTCTTACATGGGACAGTTTGGTTCCCAGCATCCATATCAGGCAGTTCACAACCACCTGAAACTCCAGCTCCACGAATCCCACTCTCTTTTCTGGCCTCCATGGGCATCAGTACACACACAGCATACAGTTCCATAAACATATATATACATAAATAAAAGTTTTTATTTTTTAAAAAGAACATGTATATAATGCAAATAAAATCTGAACTAAAATATTTAGTATTCACAAACAAGCTAAAATATTTAGTATTCATAAACAAATCACTAAGAAAAACTGAAAAGAATGAGCAAAGGCTATGAACAGGCAATTCAGACAGGAAGGGAGGGAGGGGATCTGTGTGCTCAGTAGCAACAAGAGAGCAGAGACTGGACCTACTAAAGCTGAGACATTCAGAGGACCCCTATAGAGTTGAAACTCAAACTTCTGAGAACAAATGATCAACTATGTTTAATAAAATGGGTTCTTCAAATAGAAAATTTAAATTCAAAAATTTCTACTTTTCATTAAATTATATTCAGCTGCCGCTAAGGGAATGGTACTGCAGCTGCCAGGGTTCAGTGTGGCTGGTTTCAGGGACTTCACAGGAAGCCTACGGAGGCACTGTGAGGGCCCCAGGCAGGAAGCGTCCCTGGTCCTCTAGAGAGAATGCATCTTACAGCACCCCCTTGTGGCAGAATAGCAAAAACCACAGGTAAAGAAGAAATTTGCCTGGATTTGCAGTCAAGAGTAAACTCTTAACTGGTACAACTGATAGTATTAATAAAGCATTTATATTTAAAATCTCATACCCTCCTAATCTTTTTCTACTTATAACAATGTAACCATTTCTCACAGGGAAAATGTTATTACCATCTCCTCTCAGAGACACATGAACCAGGCAAGGCGGCACATACATGTAATGCCAGCACTCAGATGGTGGAAACAGAATGCCAAGGTTCAAGGTCTGCTTGGGCTACAAAGTGTCGTTCTGTTTTGAAAATGAGAGAGCAGGTCAATACAGCCATTGTGTCCATCTCAGAGACTGATGAGCCCCATCCCTGGGCTATGATACCCTAACCATTTGTTCGCAATCCCTACCTAGAAATGAAATGGCAACATCAAACTTCAGCAAAATCTGTATTTAATAAGAAAGAGGATTCCAGGCAGAGTGCAGTGACAGGCTTCCCTCTGGCCTGGAATAGCTGAAGAAATCAACCCTAGGACTGATCATCGCACGTCTAAGGAAATTGCTCGAGGGTAGGAAACTCCAGCTCACCTGCACTGAGAACAGGGATTGTTCCCCCAAGCCAGAGAAGAAAATCTCCTAAATTGGGGATATACAGAGACACAAAGCTTTTGCCTCAGAGAACATTAACCATTCATCAAACCAAGAACTCAGAAAACAGCTTAAAAGTAGATACAAACAACAACAGCTTGCTAATAACTTTCAAATGACTAGACCAAAGTTCAAGAACTGTAAGAATAGGAAAACTATAGAACACTCAATAAAATTAAAATTTACTATGCCTGGCATACAAATAAAAATAACCAGACATGAAAAGTGACACCCACAAACTATAACTCATAATGAGGAGAAAAATCTATCAATAGACACTGCCCCAGAGATTATACAGATGGCAGAACTAAATGGGGCTACGTAAAAAACAAAACTGTATATATCTGAGCACGACAGGGCAGGCCAAACATGCCAAGAACATAAAAAAAGGAATGTGTAGAGAAATTTATTTATGTTTGGAAGGTAATTTAAAAGACCCACATTGAACTATTAGAGATAAAAAACTATAAATGAAATTTTAAAAAATATTTAAATATCACACTGGATGGCATTTAGGATAGATAGGATGTTGCTGGAAAAAAAGACTAGGATAAACAGGAAAACGAATGCAATACAAAGTATCCAGTGAAATGTGGAGAGAAAAAACTGAGTGTCAGCTTCACAGTGCTTATTAGACCTGCGATTTATGTCCACAGAGAGGCTGAAAGGAACATTTGAAGGAATAATGCCCCCCTCCCATTTCTAAATATTCTGAAGACCATGAAGCCAAAGTTTCAAAGGGTACAAGCAACCCCAAATACAAGACATGGGAAATAAAGTACACCACGGTATATCATAAAGTGCTCCACCACCAATACAAAGCACACCACATCTGACAGAGGCCGTGGGAAGCCTTTGCATAGAGGAACAGACAAGGCTAAAGCTGCGTAGCTGTGGTTGGCATTGTTGGAAGCAATGCAAATCAGAAGAGAGTGAAACAATGTCCTGAATGTTCTCAAAGAGGAAAAAAAAAAAAAAAGAATTACTAACCTGCAAAAATGTGTTTCCCATGTTCTACTCCACAGCATCAATGAGAGAAAAGGCCCTGAGCAGTGCTGTCTGGCAGCCTGGTCAATGTTACGCTAAAGACGAAGAAACAAAGTCGCTGCTGAGAACCCCAGAGGACCACTGGTCACCTGAAAGAGACTGTCATGCTCGGAAACATAAAAAAACCCTAGACTGGCTCACTGAGTATCATTTCCCAGCCTTCCCTTTCTTCTACCATTGCTCAGGCTAGAAAGATAATTGCCATCCCAGGCTCCCTTGCAGCTAAAGAAAACAGGTATGATTCAGCTGGGGTCCCCAGTAAAGGTTTCTCTTCCCAGCTAACAGGGCACAACACTGGCAGGAAGAACAATTATCCTTCTGCTGTGCTTTCTATCTGAGATGAACACAGGCAGAGTGCTGCAGACAGGCAAACATCTTATAACCTTGAGGTGTGCCAAAATGGCCCCCACAGGCTCACAGGGAGAGGCACAATTAGGAGGTGTGGCCTTGCTGGAGTAGGTGTGGCATTGTTGAAAGAAGTGTGTCACTGGGGATGGGCTTTGAGGTCACAGAAGCTCAAAACAGGCCTATTGGCTCACAGTCTCTTCCTGCTGCCTGGAGAGCCAGTTTAAGAGTTGCTGTGGGCATGGTGTCTCTTCACAGCAATGAACCCTAACCAAGACAAGGTAACAAGCAAGCATGCAGAGCTAATGTACTGTACACCTCAGGGGGTAAAACAGATTACAGGCTGATCTCAGGCTGTTCCTGGATGACACTGGGTGACTTACTAAGGGAGAGAGAAACGGCTCCTATTTTTGACACTTTGGGACAAGTTTTCTGTTTTTCAGTCATGCAGTTCTAACCATTGATCACTGGGGGTGGAAGGGCTCAGGCAGGGGAAGCAGAGGTAAAGGCTATTTAACACAGTAGAGGCTGGGTCCAACATTCAGGGCTCAGATACCTGTATTTGTCATTCTAGGCTGGGAGCAATAGAAAGAATGGGGGAACAGGAATTCTGGAAAGTCTAGATGAAGATGTGAGGAAAACACCTTGTTAACTGGATTCCTGGTTCTTCCTGTAGCCTGAGTAGTTCAGGAGAAGAGGAAGCTGTTAATGCCAATCTCTTAAAATTTTTAATTAAATATATTGTATATGTGTGAGAAGGGTGAGGGGAGGCATATATGTGGAGGTCAGAGGACAACTTTGGGAGTTTGTTCTCTCCTCCTACCATGTGAGTCCCTGGAATCAAACTCAGGTATCAGGCTTGGTGGCAGGCACCTTTATGCTCCAAGCCATCTTACTGGGCTAGCCTTTCATTTTTCTTCTTTCTTATTTTTTGAGCTAGGATCTTGCTTCATAGCTTTGACTAGACTGATAATTACTATATAGCCCTGGCTGGCCTGGAACTCATGGTAATCCTCCTGCATCAGCCTCTCCTTGTCCTGGGATTATGGGTGTGCACCAAAAGAGCCAGCCATTTCTTTTCAATACAATAGACAGTAGATATTGTAAACCACCCTCAGGTAATATATAAAAAGGAAGATTATGAGAATAAGAAGTGACCTCTTTCCAAGAATTTGCATTTATTTAGTTTTTTCAAACTAACCTGACTGGTACAACTGAAGGCAAGTTGTACACAACTATTACCTAGCATAATAAACCCAATTTTTAGATTGTGCCATTAAAGGCTTTCTTGACTGCAAATGGAGACCACTGCTCTTCGTTCATTATTGTTGCACTTATTGTCTTTAACGTTGTATGACATGTGTCAGGTACAGCAGCACTATTTCCTGTAGAGAACAATGTGCAGACAACATACAGCATGGCTAACGCTAACACGCATTTACAAAGTACAACAGGTACATTAACAATTACCTTCAACACACAGTGCCATTTGAAGCTGTGGAATGTATAATATAGTATTATGGCAAACACGGACTTATCATATCTATTACTTCTTTGGCACCTTCTTGCTCTATGCATCTCTCTTTGCATTCCAGCTTTGAAACATGAATAGGTGGAATGTGGAGGAAGAAACCTAGATTAAAAATTTCTTTTAAGAGACGGACAACAGAGAATCTAGCAGGATCCTGTGCCTTTCCTGAAGTATATCAGTGATCTAGATAGAAGTCAGGTGTCTGGCTTTTCCAGGTCACATTCAGCCAGTCTTCCAGACACTACTAAAAGAGGAAACAGAAGCAAGAATCTTTGTTAATGGAGACAAGTGTGGAAGGACAAACACATTTCTGACATTATTTCCAGCTAGAAATGAAAGACAATACAGTATTAAATGTTTCTTGATAAACCTTTGATTTAGTTACACTAGACACACATCACTTTAGTAACGGGGAGCACTGCTAGAGAAGCAACTCTGTTCATTTGTATTTAGGGCACAGTTGGGCATGTTAAAAAACTAGTAAGCTGGAAGAGCCTGACATTCCAAAGGCTCTTTGTTAATAGCAGTTTGATGAGGTAGAGAGGTATCAGGGCAGCCTCGGGGTAGTGGTGGTTACAGCATCTATAACAGTTAAGACAGTTCTTCTAACCTAAGCCCCCATTCTAGGGGATAACCCAATGCACCCCTGGGATTAAAAAAGTGCCTGGAAGTAGCAAGCACTCTTAAGTCACGAGGAGTCCTGCTTAATCAGGGTCGTTTGCAGTCTTCTGTTCTAGGGGCAAAGAGCACATACATTAGTGAAGAGATGTGGAGGGCTCCCTACAGAGCAGCACATCCTCTTCCTCTGCGAGCTCTTGCTCTGCTCCTCCCCAGAAGGTACTATTGCCACACTTCCATTACTGTTTTTCAGGCTTCCCACAATCCTGCTATGCAGAAGTGAGGGGTTTGCTCAGTGGACCAAGCTCTAGCAAAGTTACTAGAACCGTCAATGTTTCTCAACTTCGCCACTACTGATTTTCGCAGCACAGAGATGCTTTGTGGTACAGCGCAGGGTGTTAGCAGCATCCCGGGCTTCTAGGCACTCACGCTAGCATTAGCACCTTCCATGCTGTCTCCAAGCACACATGCCTCTGTCAGCTGTCTCAGGAGACAAACTCACTCCCAACTGGGGTACCGCCACACCAGCGAAGAAAAGATGGCTTTAAAATGTAAACTGCATCATGCACTTTACTCCCTTGCGTCATTTTTTTTTTGATGATCTCAGAATAAAATTCAAACTCTTCACTGTGATTTCCAAGAAACTATATGAACTGGCATCTTCCTCTTTTTTTTTTTTTTTAGACTACACTCTCATATACTAACTGGTTTCTGTTCCACAAACATCTTCCGGTTGCTCCAACTGGCCTTTTAGGCTGGCTTTTCCTTCTGTCTAAAATGCAGTCTCTCTGAGCCCACACAATGGCAGATCAAATGTCACACAAATGTCCTCACCATATAGTCTAAAGGACCTCCCCGTTCTCTACCACAACACATCTTTCCTTCCTGGGAGCACAAGAGAACACTGTCTTACTTCCTGCCTTGTTTCTGCCTGGTCCTGAAAGGAAGACCTCAGTCTTTTCCACTGTCAAGGCTGACATGCTTTGACTAGTACCTCGTACACAGTAGATACTCAGTAACAATCTTCCGCCAACCTCACCTCAGGTCAGGTGTCAATAGCTTCCTCTTCACTTTCCCTTCCAAGATTTTTTTTTAAATTAATTAGTTTGCCTGTTTTTTTCTAACACCCCTGACCTATTTTAAAGTGTAGGTGTAGTACTGTGTATAAAAACAACATACGAAAGCTTATTATGAAATACAAATAAAGGCCAATTAGTAATTCAAAAGACAATTCTTTGCCCTGTAGGTTTCATGCACTATGTAATCAAGCCAGTGGTCATGAATTCATGGCCAGTTTAGTCCCTCTTCGCAATTTCAAGTGGTCAAGGCATTCTAGAGGGACCTAAGACTACAAAACTTACCTGGTGCAGAGACTCAAAGAGCCTCCACGTCCACTGGCCGGGTATATACAGTAAGACAAGTCTGAAACCCTTCTGTGCTGGCTTCAAGTTAAATAGTACTCTGGGTCAATAGCAGGGTGGTCTAAGGTGCTGCAAAGTCAATAGATGTTGGCAGCGTCCCGAAACCACAGCCTGTTTCTTACATTGATTTATGGGCTGATTCCATGAAACCAAAGATGCTTGGCTCTCCTGGAAGCTGGCTGGCGGGCAACTGGAAGCCCTTCGACTTGGCTAAGGGCCAGGGCCCTTGGGCACCACTTTCATCGGGCCATTTTGGCACTCTGGCGAGCAGCTTTCTTGTCCCGCCTGGCTGGGCTCTCTACACGGTGCACAGTCGTCTCCACCCGCAGAGATGACGATGCCCTGACGTGGCTGGAGGACGTTTCCGTGCACTGCGAGGAGGTTTCCACGTGCTGGGAGGACACCTCGAGGAATCCGGGGAGTCGCTTCGTGGAGGGGGTGAGGGAGGGCCCCTCTCGGTGGCGCAGAGACGTCTCCACCTGCCGGGAAGACGTTCGAACCTGCCGGGAGGAAGTCTCCACGCGGTGGGATGATGTTTCCTCGCGGTGGGACGACGTCTCCACGAGGACAGTCTCCTTGTGGCGGGTGCTTTCCACTCGCGGGGCGGAGGACTTGCCCCTAAGGGGCGAGGCCATCCTGCCGGTACACCCAAGTCAGGAGGGACAATGAGGCCTAAGGCTCAGGCTCTGCATCACGTCACACAGGGAAAGGTGACGTCAGGGTGCTGTGCTACGTCAGCGTAGGCCGAAGGACACGTAAGCCGCGAGGTCCCCCACCACGCCCCGCTCGGTAACTGCGCGCGCAGCCGGCCCGAGCTCCAAGATAGGCGGAGCCTCTCATCTCAGAATGAGGCTGTCCCCGCCTCCGTGTTCCACCCTGCCCCGCGACCGGAAATAAGAGTTGTGGCTTCCGGCTCCTCCCTCACCATTCGAGGCTGCGGATCTGTCGGGCTGGTTGTGTTTGCCCCTCTCTGCCGGTTATGGCCGCGGCCGTCGCTATGGAGACAGGTGCGTTAAGCCCTGCGCCCCGAGTCTTCACCGAAGGAACGGTTCTCCGCCCCAACCTCCTCTCCCGTTTCCCCGAGCGGTCTTTCAGGCTTAACTCGCGTCCTTCGAGTTGGGACTGGAAGGGGAAAGGCGGTGTTGTCTCTCAGATTGTGGCGTGTGTGAACATCTTTGCTCCCGGACTGCTCAAACCCCCCACTCCTTGGTTCCCGGGCCGGGGTGGGGCTGAGGGAGAGGACCGAGCCCTTCTGTTGTCTGCTCTTCGGAGCTTTTCTCGTGAACGTGCTTTAAATGTCGGTAACTTGGGTATCGTTCTAATACGGATTACCGTCCTCGCTCCGCTGTTTAATCACTTTGCATCTTGCTTCCTATATGGCGCTTTGTTTTTCCTTAACGTACTCACTGTTAGTAGTAGTGGTTATAACGCATTAATATATGGGGCGGCACAGCTATTAGAGACTATCCAGTGATCTCTGTTAACAACCTTCCATAGTGGCCTACAGGTGGTAAATACCCATTGCATTTATTTTCCTCAACTAATTTTAGAGAATTTCTTTATTGTGTTTGTTTTGTTCTGTAGAAAGGGTCTCACTATCTACTACTGTCAGACCTAGAACTAGCGACGTGCACCAGGCTGGCCTCGATCTGTCTCCCAAATGTAGGGATTAAAGGCGTGCACCACCACGCCCAGCTTGTTTTGGTTTGTTTTAAATTAGGCTCCACTCTTAGATTTCTAAGGAAGTTTCTCCTGAACTTTGAATGTTTTTCATAAATTGATACGACATGCGGTGCATGTCAGAGGACTTGTGGGAGTCTTTCTAAAACCCTGTGGGTTTCGGGATCGAACTCAGGGCAGCAGACTTTGCTGCAACACCTTTACCCGCTGAGCCATCTCACTTTGATTTTTGCTTATTTTTGTTTCTACAAATCAACATTCCTATCCTGACCTTATTTTGGGTGTGTTTTTTTTCTGTCTTATCTCCTAGATGATGCTGGAAATCGACTTCGGTTTCAGTTGGAGTTGGAATTTGTGCAATGTTTAGCCAACCCAAATTACCTTAATTGTAAGTTGAGTACATCATTGAGTTGAGTAGCTAGCTGTTGATGATTTCTAACAGAGATGTAATTCATAAGAATATTTACTTTGATACGTTTGAATGGGATTTTTACTTGCACTGGTCTGTAGGTATTAACTGAGCAAACAGAACTTGTGTTTTTTAATTCCTTGTGATTTGATGGTAGGGATGTTAAAAGAGCTACTTTATTAGAGATTACAAGACAGTGGTCCAGCAACTGGTTGACATGCAGATTGTTTCTTTATGCCTTTCAGTTCTTGCCCAAAGAGGTTACTTCAAAGACAAAGCTTTTGTTAATTACCTTAAGTACTTGCTTTACTGGAAAGAACCAGAATATGCCAAGTATCTAAAGTAAGTTTAATTTTTATAATCTTAAATCTGTGTATACTTTATTATAAATACAAAATACTGATACTTAGCAGTTTTCTCAGTGTCAGAACGGAAAACTGTTTTGAATCATTCTGCTTTTAGTTAATGTAAGACATTGTCATCTCTAACTTGGATTATTAGAGGAATCTCATTTGTTTCTGCTACCATTCTAACCTCACTCTCTTCAAACCAAACGAAGCCAGACAGCTGTCTGTGGAAGCCAACTTACTCTCTTAGTAATATAAATCAGGACATGCCACTTGTATTAATGTAGGGTAAAATCCAGTTAACTGGTTTTAGACTGAGGCTGTAATGTGATTTGGTCTTGTCTAACCTTGTCATTTAACACCCCCTTGTCTCTGTGGTTTCTAATCTTACCAACCCATAAAGTACTAAAATGCAGCGGCACAGCCAGAAGCTGAAATGAACACACAGGAAGTAGTGTTTTCTGGGAGTCTCAGACTACCTTTCTTTATAGTATCCTGTGTGTCAAGCACTGCTAAATGTATTGTGTACATTAACTCGCTGTAAAAAACAAACACGGACGCTATCAAGCTGTTCATAGACAGTTTCATTATAGGACTTACTAAACTATAAGAAACATTACAATCACACAACTGCCACTTTTAATGGTAAAACAAAACCTTGAACTCACATCTCTGCTTTGTCTTAAAAAAAGAAAAATAAGCTGGTATACACCTTTAATCCCAACATTTGGGAGGCAGAGGTGGGTGAATCTCTGAGTTCAAGTCCATACTGGTCTACAAAGCTACTTCCAGGACAGCCAGGGCTACACAGGTAAATCCTGTCTTGAACTCCCCCTCCTCCTCCAAAGGGATGAACAACAAAAAATCCAGAAGTTTAGCCTGATGTCCCTTTAATCTAGCTCTCAGGAAGCAGAGGCAGGCTGATCTCTGTGGGTTCAAGACCAACCTGGTTATGTAACAAGTTTCAGGCCAGTCAGGGCCACAAAGACAGACCCTGTCTTAAAATAAGAGGAAAATCACTTTTCTGGATTGATTCTGGGCTGCCTGAGACTGACTGCACTCCAGGGTGCCCTTTGTGATGCAGTTGTCGGTTCCTGCAGGAATCTAGAGGGAAGACTTGACTTTACGCTATTATTAGCAGATTTCAGACTGGGCATTCAAAGTCTTAGTCATCTTTAAGTTCAGTCTCCCCAGCAGAGTTGTTGGCTGGTGAGTGGCCATACTCCAGTGAGCATATGTCACTGTTAGAGGCAGCTCACTCGGTTGACGGCCAGAGCTTCCTTATATTGTGATCAGACAGACTTCCTTGTAGCTCTAACCTATTTGTTGTTTTTGTTTGCTTGTTTTTCTGTTCGTCTATGTCCTCTTGGAGACAAAAGCTATAGATGTTTAAATTCAAGAGAGGTTGGAAATTAACCCCTTTGGGGCAATTTTATTTTATCTGCACATGGTTCTAGATTTTTAAAATGGTTGTCAAAATTTAAAGATGGGAAGGTTTTATGGAACAGAATTCCAACTCTTGGAACTTGGGAAGAGTTGAGGCCTTTTTTCCCAGATAAGCAGCTGTCTCTTCCATACTTCCAGCAAGTGGCCTGCTTACTGATAGCTAGTGCCTGCAGCTGCTGTGTTTTTCTTAAACATAGGTTCTTAGCGGCCTTCAGTCAGTTTAGTGCCACGTTTGCCAGAGTTCTCAGGAATCTTTGATTATCTGGCAGTTCAACAATAACAAAAAAATAAACAAACTAAACATAGGCCAGGCAAAGTGATGCATGACTTTAAACCCTGCACTTGGAAGGAACAGAGGGAAATCTCTGAATTTGAGGCAAACCTGGGCTATATAGTGAGACCCTGGCTCAAAATAAAATAATCTGGGAGAGGGAGGGTGGCTAGAGAGATGGCTTAAGTGTTTAAGAGCACTTGCTGCTCTTGTAGAGGACCCAGGTTTGGTTCTTAGCACGAAATGGTCACATCTATCCAAAATTCCACTTTCATAAGTTCTGATGCCTTTTTACTCTGAAAGCACTATACATACATGATACATAGACACAAGCACCAAAACGCCCGTTCATATAAAATAAAAATAATAAAAATTTAAAAACAAACTAAAAATAAGCCTTCAAATGTGCTCAGGGTATCACAGGCCACATGACATTTCTCTTTCTTGTGATAATTCAACATAGATGACTATACTTTTTTTGAGTGGAAGAGGGTTGGGAGTCAAACGTTGACTTCCTGAAAGCTTTACCAATTAATATCCACCAGTTATTTCCATGAATTGAATGCTGTTATTATTATTATTATTGGTTTTTCAAGACAGGGTTTTGAAGCTTGTCCTGGACCTCACTCTGCCAGGCTGGCCTTGAACTCACAGAGATTTGCCTGCTGAGTGCTGGGATTAAAGGTGTGTGCTTCCACCACCACCCGCCTGAATGCTGTTACTTGACATCTCTGTTTATGTCTTGTTCATTTTTTAAAAATCAAAATGTGGGTCTTTCCATTTGTACTCTTCTATTTCATCCTGTAGACTTGGGGTTAATGTGTTGTAGCCTTTCAGAATATGCATAGTCCTTAGTCTAATGTATTTAAGAACACTGTTTTCTACAAAATAGATGAGGAAGCCTCCAGGCAGTGGTGGCGCATGCCTTTAATACCAGCACTGGGGGTTGGGGGGGGGGGAGGCTGAGGCAGGCAGATCTCTGTGAGTTCAAGGCCAGCCTGGTCTACAAGAGCTAGTTTGAGGACAGGCTCCAAAGCTACAGAGAAACCCTGTCTCAAGAAACAAAATAAATGAGAAAATGATCACTGCCTAAATTCCAGTTACTTAGTGCTACTTAAGGCCATTCATTCTCTTGCTAGTCACATTATTTTACATACAAAGAAACTGAACTTAAGTTTAAATGCTGTCTTTAAGTCAGAACTGAATCTTTTAAATTATGATGTGCCATGAAAGAGAATTAGCCTAGTATAGTGGGAGTAGAGCATTCTGGGCTATTACAATTACAGACAACTCTTTATTTGGACTATAAATAATAGCCTTTGCTGGAAAGGAAGCATAGCAGTGTTCTGCAGTGGGGCCATAGCCATCCCTACCCTCCACCCCATACCCCCTTCTCATTTTCTTCTCACCTCCTCATCCTCCCTCTTGCTTTTAAAAGCTCCAGGACCAGATTAATTAGCATTGACAAGAAAAATACCCCAGACAGGCAAGCTGTAAAATCTCAACAGCTGTTCAAAGGAGGGAGAGTGGAAGGGAGAAGGAAAAAAAGCCTTGCCCCTTGAGCTAAGCTGAAGTGGATGGTAGTCTCACTGGTGGGAAGGGAGGCAAAGAAAAAGTATGGACACCCAAAATGTTAGGGAAGGCATGCTTGGCAGAGAGATAGGAGGAATAAAAGAGAAAGTTACACTTTGTCTTGACTTTTCTGAGTCAAAGGGCAGACAAAAGCTGCATTGGAATGAGTGCCAGGATCTTAGCTTTGATAGAACATTAATATTCGTCTACTATGTAGTCTATAGACCCCATTATTATGTATGAAGTCTGTAGATACCATTAGATTCTGTCTATTGTCCTACTGGTGTCCTGTTTCTAGAGAGTGGCATCCAGTCTAGCCTGATATACCACATTTTATCATCCTGTTTTCTCCTCCTTTACTCCCTTTTTTCTCCCTCTTTTATTCCCCTCCTTTTTCACTCAAACTGTTTCTCACTCTGACCAAACACTGACTTGCTACTTTGTTCTTCTTGGTTTGTCATAATCCAGAGTCAGGTGAAGTCTTGTTTGTCCCATTAGTGATAATTATTATTTTGGAGGAGAGATCTTTCAGTATAACCCTACATGGCCCTCAAAATCTGTCTACTTTTCTTAAGTTTCCTGAGTACTGGGAGTACAGGTCTGTGCCCAGTAATGTATATGATTCTTGTGGAGTTAGTTGACTCATATAAATAAGGTTACCCTTTTATGATTCCTAATGGAAAACCAGTAACTATTTATTAAACATATAACTATTTTCAAAGTCTTAAGAGCCAGTGAGATAGCTCAGTGGGTAAAGGTGCTTGCTTGCAAGCTGATGAGTTGAGTTTGATGCCTAGGACTCTCATGGTGACCTCCACAAGTATCCCATGGCACGTGCTCACTCTCCCTCCCACACAAATAATAAATGCAATAAAATTTATAAATTAAAAAGTGTTCATGTTCCTCACTTAAACTAAAAGAGTATAGTTTATCTACCAATTTTGATCCTGCTTACCAGTTTACTGGGTTGTGTGGTCTTGGGCAAGTTACTTAAGGTGTCTGAACTTTAATTTCCATGTTCTGAAATGACATGGTGGGAATGACATCGCCAGAGGTACTACATTAATAGAAATGGTAGGCCTGAGATCATTTTTAGAAGAGTATCTGAATTGAACTTGGATGCCTTAAATTATGTTGATAATTAACTTACGAACTTAAACCCAGGTACCCTCAGTGTTTACACATGCTAGAACTGCTCCAGTATGAACACTTTCGAAAGGAGCTGGTGAACGCTCAGTGTGCGAAATTCATTGATGAACAGCAGATTCTACACTGGCAGCACTATTCCCGGAAGCGGATGCGTCTTCAGCAAGCACTGGCAGAGCAGCAACAACAGAATAACACAACAGGAAAATGAAGAGCTGGGACAGACCAGGCTCTTAGGACATGTATATAATGTATTGCTATGTACAGTACCGATAAAAGATGGTTTTTCCTGCCCACCTTCATTATGGTAGCACTCAGAACTGTTAGTATTATTTTTGGCCAGCAAACTTTATATTGTTAATAGATTATTTCTGTTAAACCAGAATTGTTCTACTTTGATTTCTCTGGGGATTTGTAAATTTCATTTGCATTTAATAGAACCAAGTGAATAAGAATGTAAATGTTGAGTGTTGTAGAGCGGTTTAAGAACATGGGTGCGCAGGGTGGTGGTGGCACACACCTTTAATCCCTGCACTCGGGAGGCAGAGGCAGGAGGATCTCTGTGAGTTCGAGACCAGCCTGGTCTATAAGAGCTAGTTCCAGGACAGGCTCCAAAACCACAGAGAAACCCTGTCTTGATAAACCAAAAAAAAAAAAAGAACATGGGTGCAACATACAGGGGTACTGAGATCAGCTGCTCCAACCATCTCAGGAGAGAGGAGACTGTAGTCAGGAACTACATGAAGATTCCTCTCTACAGTTGCTCCCTGCTTTTTAAGATAGCTGACCTCTAGTGGCAGGGAAAGACTGATAGTTAATGACTAATTGGACTCTTGTTCTTAAAGGTATGAGCCTCAAATACCTTTCTTTGAAAAAGTTAGCACTTTTTTGTTAAGTACCACAAGTAGGCACTGCCTTAAGCTTCTTTTAATCTGTTTCAGAATATTTTTATCTTATGTGAATGTGTGAATTGTTTGCATGTGTGTGCACCACGATGTGCCTGGTGCCCAAGGCAGCCAGTAGAAGAGAACATCAGATCCCTGGCATGAAGTTGAAGGTGGTCGTGAGTCACCATGTGGTGCTAACCATGTGGTGCTAGGAACTGAACCTGAATCCTCTGCGAGAGCAGCAAGTACTGTTAACCACCGAGCTCTCTCTAGCCCTTATTTTTTCTCTGAGTCAGGGTCTCACTTTGTAGCCCAGGCTGCCTTGGAATCTGTGATCCTTCTACCTCAATCTCCAGAGTTCTGGACTTAAAGATAGATACTAGGCCTGGCTCACATGCTGCTTTTTTAAAAATATTATTTATGTGTGTGAATGACCTACACAGTGTATGTCTATACTACTTGTATGCCTGGTTCTCTCAAAAGCCAGAACAGTCCAGATTCCCTGGACTTGGAAGTTGTAGACAGTTTTGAGCTGCCAAGTGGGTTCTGGGAATCCCCTAGTGAGTGCTCTTAATCACTGAAAGACCTCTACAGTCCACATTCTTTTAATTGTAGAACAATAATTGGGCTTTTCATTTGCAACAAAGTCTGGTCCAGTATGTAGTCCACCCCTTGCTTCAAATTTGTGATTGATTGCTTTAGCCTCTAAAGTAATAAGGTAACATGTGTATCACTATGCCTGACACAATTCTTTTTTGAAGAAATTGAGATTTACAGTAACTTGCCTGTGGCTAAGAGAACCAGTCTGTCCCACTCCAAGAGAATCACATTTTAGACAGTTGTGAAACAAAACTGCCTGAATTAAGCATATACATTCTTCCAAGTGTCTTCCCTAAATGATTTTAGTGAAGTTCTGCATTTCAAAGGCACAAAATGGTTTTGTTTTTGCAAATGCACAGAATTTAAAGTAACAGATCCTAACAGCTGCAGATTTTTTGGGAGTTAGTTACTTTTTCCTCTGAGCTACTACTGACATACTGAAGACCTATTTAACTCAAATCTTTTAGATAGCCATGTGTTACAAAGCTAACTGGAGATTTGTGTTTTAATTCTTTATTGTTTAAACATACACTGATCAATTAAATCAATTCTTTTAAGCAAACCAGGAAATCAAGACACAATTGTGATCTTCATTTTTTTTTTTTTTTTTTTGAGACAGGGTCTCTCTGTGTAGCTCTGGCTGTCCTGGCTGTCCATTTAGACCAGGCTGGCCTTGAGCTCACCAATCTACTGGTCTCTGCCTCCCAAATGCTGGGATCAAAAGTGTGCTCTACCACCACCCTTGCTATCATCAAATCTTAATCTTCAGCGAATATCATTTCCAGGAGGTTGGCCTGAAGGCACTCAGATTCCACAAGTTTTTGAGGCTGTAAAAAAAGAATGGTTGAGTTTTAACCACTGCTATGAAATGTTATTAGGGGTGGAATGAATTCTATTTTGAAGGACAGTTTTGAACATAGAAATATTGTCATCAGCAGCTATCAGCTAGCCAATCCTGTTGGTGCACACCTTTAATCCCAGTACTCAAGAGGCAAAGACAGGCAGATCTCTGAGTATGAGAACAGCGTGGTCTACAGACTGAGTTACAGAACAGCTGGAGCTACACAAAGAAACCCTGTCACAAAAAACCAACAAAACTAATGGAACTAACTATCAGCTAGTTATAACAAGCTTTATGAAGTAGTTAAGATACTTAAGATGAATCATTAAAATACTTGGCCTGAAGGGCCTTAAAATTCCTTACCAGGAAGCCCCATAGACTGGAAACAAGAGATGGCAAGCCCAGTGCCATCTCCTTCCCTTGAATCTTTAATTTAAGATCCAGGGCTGAAATAAAGGGGGAGCCCTCTTAAACCTCAAAAAGAGTGTTAAAAAACATTGGCACGGGTGCTTTCAGGAATGAGTCAGCACTCTGCTGAACAAAGAATCTTAAAGGCAGCTGGAAAATGCTCCTAACCACTATCTTTTGCATTCTTAGTAGTTCATTGGGACTGGCAGGGGAATGGGCACCAACTTGTGCTTCTGATGCACTTTGAACAACAGTGTGATGATGTTGGGAGTTAAATGTTAGGCTTTCTTCAAACATGAATCTAAAACAACTTGAGCCTTAACGACATCAAAGCCACAACATAAAGGTAGATAGATACTCACCGTTCCATATTTAAGTAGCGTAGGCACTGCGGTTAATTTCAGCTTTTGTCTGAAGTCATTATTTGGGTCTTTCCAGCTATTCCAAAAGGAAGGAATCATGAAAATTACTACTTGGTTTATTACACTTTACTCAGCCAGGGATCTATATGTAGTGTATTAGTAATCATTGCTTTTGGTAGAGTTTAAGCATTTTGAGGACTGTAACTTAGTATCACCCTCAACAAAGTTTACATTTAAAGTGTGAGTAAGAGAAAATACAAATGTAAAGTCAATAGCATTCTGAACTTATTCCAGACCAAATTCAATTCTACTATGTGGCTGAACATAAGCATTAAATTTGAATTCAGTAATTCTAATTGTTTGGCTTATCAGACATTACCTAAAACACAGAGCCTGAGCAAAACCTGAGGTCCTTTCCACCCAAGTTTTTAAGAACTAGCCCATGTCTGGAGATGTTTACATGGTGGTATACATGCTTACTTACTAAGATCTGTCTCCTACTTGGCAGTAGATGAACACGCAGTCTTCCGTAACATGCTTCAGCCCCTCTCGAACGACTGGCTCGGCTTTTTTAAAAAAGTTATAAAGTAATTACACATCAACTGCGGTAGCTCGTGCCCTGCCCCCACTTCCTTTCCCCTCTTCCCAGTCTTCGCAGACTTTAACCTCCAGTAAGAATGAGGATGTTAAAGTCATGTGTTCTTTTCTGGACTGGAGAATCACTAAGTCCTAGTCCTGACTGTCCTAAGACACACACGCAGAACATCAGAAAGCGTACGTACTTGCTAATGTAACAACCAACTCACGAGTCCTGTAGGACACTAATCATTTGGGGCCGAGAATTTTAAAAAATCAGGTTCCAAATCTGAGTTCATGATAAAAATGAGGGCCACGCTTGAGTGGAGCGAATAAGGACCTAATGGGAGACAAGGGGACAGTTCATACTCTTCTGCAGGTCTACGGGACTAAGATCTTCATCTATGCCCCAATGATCCCACTTTCTGGCTTTAGTCGGGGCCTTCTTCCCAACACTTAATGCAGTGCAGTAACCCCAGCCCCAGTCTCACCTTCCACGCAGTCCGGACACCAGCTCTTCCCTTCGGCATCCTTAGAACCGCTGAAGTAGGCAAAAATGGTCTTGCCCTGGTGCTCCTTTACAGCCTGGTCGAACTCCTCGAAGCCGGACACGCTCACCTCCTTGTAGGTGGCCATCGGTTCAGTCTCGAGAGTTGCCTGGGAGGCGCTCTGGGATCCTGCCATCTCAAGGAGGGGCCCAAGGAGGGCGTGAACAAGTTTCCGGGTGGGAGGTACCACTGGAGCTGCATCATGCTACGGGAGCCTCGGATGGCCATGATTCGGCAGAACAGTCGTTTTGATCTGCTGGAGTTTCTTTTTGGCGCCAGCTCCCTTCTGACATCTAGACTTCTGACCTGGTCTGGTCCCCATCCTGGCCTCATGTACAGAGAGCAACCCGTTGCAGTACAATACCTTGCTCCTCAGATGGCTCAGGAAGCTCAACGGTTCCCAAGCGGCCCCGCGCCTGTTGTCATGGCGACTGGGCGAGAGGCCGGAAGCGAGGCCTAGCTTCTGGTTGCCTGTCCATCTCCGGGTCGCCGCGCCTCGCCTAGGCCAGGTGGGCTCGGGTCAGAGGCTGGGGGAATTGTGGGAAGCTGCATTAGGCAGAGGGGACAAGCGAGAGGAGACCTTGCCCCGGCTTGTCTTTCAGCTCCGCCCCTCCAATTACCTTTCCATTTGTCAGGCTTTAGGGGGGCCGGGGCGGGGGGGCGGCGTCCGGGACTGGGCGGGGGTACGGAGAGAGCTAGGAGGCAGAAAGGCGGAGAGGGCCGGACCCGAGTGTTGTGAGTGCGTGTGCGGGGCATGCTGTCTAGGGGAACAGGTGCAAAGGCAGCGTGCCCGAGGTTGCGTTGGGGAAAGGAATTGTCCCGGAGCTGCGAACCCGGCGGGGGGCCACGGGGCCCTTGCTGGAGCGGCGCAGGTGTATTCTAGCAGCAAAGATGCCGGCTCGAAGTGTAGTGGCCGGCAGGTCGCGGAGGGGTGTTCGGCCCCTGTGGGCAAGGAGGTGGGGTGCAAGGATGTCCCGAGGCTATGGAGGAAGGCGCTGGGCGAGGTCTTTAGTACGGCGGATGCGCTCCGCTGGCACGGGGAGGTTGCAGGATGGTCGGCCGCCTTTGGGGATGAGACGAGCTTTGGAGCCCGCGGTACCCCCTGGGGTGAATAAGGCCTTTGGGACACCTAGGACTGCAGGCTCGGTTGAGACAGCAATGAACCCCGGAGCAGTGTGGGTGAACGGGGCTGTAGGCGAGCCAGAGGTGATTGGGCCTGCTGGATCTGTGTGGGTGACTAGATCTGGGCAGGAGGAGCCAGAAGATAGTAGTCCACCAAGCTGTGAGAGAAACGGTCGACCAGGAACACTTGGCCACGAGAGCATCCTGGAACTGTGGTTGAAGGTACAGGCTATGAGGGTAGCTTCAGGATGCTGGGAAGGAAGCAGAGTGGAACTCCATCCTGTTCCTGCGGGAGAGGGGCCAGTCGAAAAGGGTGTTCCTGGGAGAGCTTCTTGGATAGAGACCAGCCGAGATGGTGTCACAGGACCCTGGGTGAGAGGACATACCAGGGCATTCCCCCGGGCCTCAGGACTACCCTCAGCTAGGGGAATAGGGGCAAGTTGTGAGAGACCCTCCATCTTCTGTAGGCAGGGACAAGCTGGAAAGCCGCCTCCTGCTGTGGGTGGACCTGGAGTAGTGGAGAAGATAGGCAGTGCTGCCTCGGGCCCTTGGAAAGACAGACAGACTATGGGGGTGCCTGTGGCCATAGGATGGTCTGAGGCTGTGAAAACGTCCAGAGCTGGAGATGTGACGGGATGTGGAGATGTGCGACGGGGAGGGCAGTCTGTGCAGGTTTCTGGGGCTCTGGCAGAAGCTGTATATGGGCCTATGTTATGGGAAAGGGGGCAAATTGTAGGACCCCCTGATGCCTTGATGGCCTTACCCAGGACCGTGGAAGATGAAACTTCCTCCCAGGGAGCCACAGGGTTGTGGCAAAGGAGACAAGAGATGGAGAATATAGGTTCTAGGGGTATTCCTGGCCTCGGGGCCATGGGGCAGTCTGTAGGAGTGCCTTGTGCTAGAGTAGAGGGAGCTAGATGTGGAGGTGACCCAGGGTCCTGGGGAGCTGCACAGGCTGCAGAGCTGTCTGCTTCTGAGGAGCAAGAGGCAGGTTCTCGAGGTGCCCAGGGCCTGTGGGGTATAGAACAGGCAATGGGAGCACCCAGGGCTTTGGGCAAGGAGGCAGATAATGCGAGTGTTCCAGGACTCTGGGGAACAGGCCAGCTGCCGGGCTTGCAGCCTGTGGTGCTGTCAGAAGACAAGGGAGAAGAAACCAGCCATGATGTTTCAGGCCTGTGGGAGAGGCAGCAAGCAATGAGGACTCCTCTTGCTGAGGCATTACCAGGACCAGTTATGGAAGAGACACACGGTGGGAGTCTCCTAAGCCTGTGGGAAAGAGAGCAGGTCATGAGAGAGCAAGAGGCTCAGGGGCCTGCAGCTTTAGGGGTAGCCGGGGCTATGGATCAGGGTGACAGTTGTGGAGCTCTCCTGTGTCCTTGTGGGAGGGGGCGGGCTGTTGTGATGCCAAAACACATGTGTGCCCCAGAAAGAGTAGTACCCTCAACTCTGGGTATACCTGATGCCTTGTGGGTGTGTCAGGAGAGCAGCTCTGCAGATGCCTTGAACCTGCGGGAAAGGGCTCTTGCTGCCTTTGGGAGGCCTGTGGCTCCTGAGGAGGGCTTATCTGTAGTGGAGAATGCTGAGTCTGGGCCTCTCTCAGGTTCACGGGGAAGGAGACAAGCTGTTGGGGTTCCTGAGATACCTGGTTATCTGGAGACAGAGGCTGGTTCCAGAGGTTTCTTAGGCTTGTCAGGGAGGAGTGTCGGTATACCTGTGACTGCGGAGGTATCCGCTGCTGGTGTGGGCATGGCTCCCAGGACATCTAGTTCTGTGTGGGAGTATATTAACTCTAGGAGAGTCTCAGAGTCAGCAGAAAGCAATCCACCTACAGGGATATCTGTGACTGTCGGGCTCCCTGAGGCCATGGGGGATGAGACACTAGCTGAGGGTTTACAAAGAAGACAGTCTGCCTCGATGCCTGTAGCTACTAGAATTGCCACAGCTGTGGGAGAGCCCCCAGCTTCTGGGCTCTTTGGGCCTTACAGGGTAGTGGATAGTGCCTGTGGAGAACGCTCGGGGGCGTGGCAAAGAAGACTCAGAACCGATTTGTCCACTGCTGCCAGAGTTCCTAAACTTGAGATGGAAGCAGGCTCTGAAAGCGTCTCTGATCTGTGGAGGAGACACAGTGGGACAGTTCCTGAGGTCGTGAGAGGAGCACTTCATCAGGGGATGCTTGCAGCTGCTGGGGCTCCCGTGGTTGGAGGTGTACCTGCTGCAGTGTGGGTGACTGGCTCCCCCGGAGAGGAGGCCAGTGGAGGTGTCTCTGACTTGGTTAGGAGGCAGTCCACTGAGGGAGGAAGGGCATCAGGGGAGGAAACAGGGAGTAGAGGGATCCTGGGACTTTCAGGGAGGGGCCAGACTGTGGGGACGTCTTATTCCCATGAGCTTGGTGCCAGGATGTGGGGCGGTCCAAGGTCTGTGGGGGAGGAAATAACCCATGAGAATATCCCTGGAGTATCGGCAATGAGAACACCTGTGCCCTCAGTTTCAAGGGAGGAAACAGGCCCTGGCCATTTCAGAGATATTCTGCAGGGGAATGGGGGCAGAGCCACGGGAGTAGCCCATGAAGCTAGAGTGAGAGCGAATGATTTGGGAGAGAGGAGGGAGGGTGGATTGAGGGGCACCTTCCAATAGCTATGCAGAAAGCAAATTGGAAATCGTCCTGGGATTCTGGGAGGGAAGAGGTTGGGGAAGCTTGTCTTGGGTATAAGTGAAGGAACAGGTTAGTTTAGGGACCTTAGGGTTCCTGGAGAGATACTTCGTGGCAGTGTCACTCATGGGGTGTGCAGGGAAACTAACTGGGAGACTCCTGGAAAGACGGGGAATGCATCACAAGGAGAGGGCTATCCCAGGACTTTGTATAGGGAATGGTGTGGGGTGGGTGTCCCCGGACTTGTGCATGAATGTGTGTGTGATTGACGAGGTGGACAGTCCCAGCTCTGCAGCTTCTTCTGTGGCTTCAGCTCAACCCTGTATCGCCGGCAGGCCAGTTGGCATTGCCTTGCTCATGTGCCTTCCGTCTGCCTCTTGGATCATATCTCTGTAGTCTTAGAAACAGGGAATCGTGTACAGTTATCTTTACCTTCCTACACAAATGCATCTGCCTTTAAGAGGAGCCGGTCTGTAAACTTCAGATTTATTTTTTAAAAATTTAAGCTAGCTTTTTTTCCTCTTCACCTTGAATTTCCCAGTTGACTTACTGCTATAGGATTTTTTGAGAGAACAAATTCTCTAGTGTATTTCAAACTTAGAGTTTCTCAGAAAATTGTTCAGTACAACCATGTTGAGTTAAATTGTTGACTGTGTTCAAGTACTGATTGTGGGAAATAAAGAGTGTCAAGGCCCTCAAGTCTCAAGGAGCCTTGTCTAGCTGGAAAGCTGAGACACAGACCTTGAAATAGGTAAATAACCATGCGTGAGGACTTGCTTAACCCTTGAGTGACAAGACTGTTCAAGTATATTAAGAATCTTCAGAATAGAAAGAAGGATGAGGGTGGGGATTTTATACCTTCTTAGATTCTTCAGTAGCTGTGGGCTCACTGAGAATGAATATAGGGTGCAGATAATGAGGGAGCTAAACACAGAGAGCCCATTCAGCTGGCTAAATCCCAGCTCTATTTAGAATCGCTCAGAACTTTATCTGAGTTATGTAATGGAAGAATACATTCTGCTCTTTTGATGAATCATTAGGATTTACGTGTGTAGAGCATGCGTATGAAACTATCTGGTCACAGCAATAGTTTAGCATAACAGAAGTAATGTCTTACTGTAGACCCTTGGGATTTGAAATGAAAATGGCCTGAGGGATTATCATGAAAATAGTAGCTCCCTATTCTTTTGAAAATGAGAATTTCAAAAGTGGTTCCTTTTATAAATATAAAATCAGACCTCTTTCTAAGCAGTCATTCTTGCATGAGGTAACTGTGGATTCGCTCTGGAGTGCTGCTATATAAGCGTGGGATTGTGGGGTTGCTTAATCTGGTGTTTGAAGATTAACTTTAGACATGTTTCATTTAAGAAAGATTTGCCTGAAGACTCGGTGGTCACTGATGTTCTTCATCACCTGGTGTGATGGGACCAAGCCAGCCAGCTTCTACCTGTGTTCATCTAGCATCCAGTATCCAACTAGATGGAAGAAGTGACCCCAGGAATCTTCAGCCTCAGGTTCTTCTGCTGTTTTCCTCCTGATACTTATTATAAAACATATTTTATTTTATTTTAAACATAAAGAAAAGTTGAAAAATAAAGACATTGAACATTTTGACACTATTTTCTAGATTCAGCAGTTTTTAATAATTTGCTCTGCTTTCGTCTGCTCAACCATCTGTCTCTAAGGTTTGTGTATAAGCACACCAAAGGAAGCTCCAAACATTGATGCTTCCATTTCAAATATTTCAGAACACTCTAAAAATGAACTCTCTTACCTAACTGTACCATTATCACATATAAGAAAATAACTTAAAGGGAAAAACTTATGTGTGTGTCTGTCTGAGTGTATGTGCACATGTGTGTGCACTTTTAGAGGCCAGAAGAGGGCGCTGGACCCCCTCCAGGCTACAGTGTGAAGCCTGGTACCCCTTATTTGCAAATAGCTATTTAATTGCTCAGTCTTCAGGTATGTGAGAAGCAGAGAGTTTAGTACTTGCTTAAAGTATTTGTGTGTCTAACCCCAATGATGGATAGGTAGTTCAAATGCTATGTTCAAAAGTTGCAGGTTAAATTTTTTTCTTCCACTCTCATTTTTTAGTGTGGTTGGTTTGGTTCACTATTTTTTTGTTGGTATTCCTTTTTAGGGTTTTCCATTATCTTTATGGAGCTGTATCCCCCCCCCCCCTTCTTCCCTTGTGTATGTGAAACACTAACATGCATTCACATGGTTCCAATACAAACTTGTGCAGACAGATATGCCCAGGGAAGTATTGTCCTCCACCTACTGTTCTTTTGTTCTTTCTATTCTGTTTCCATTCACATCCTACAGATAACTAATCTCATTAATCCTCATTTTTCTTTATCATTTTCTTTCTGTCCTAAGGACCAAGATGCATGCACATATTCTTATGGCATCTTCTTTTCTTGACATTACAGCCACTCTACTTTTTTTTTTCCCTAAGAAATCCCCCACACCAGATCCTAGAGCTATTTCTAGAGACATCCTTATATCTTATTTTTCTAGCACAATATTCTGCAGTTGTCCCAAATTTATTCCATGGTCAGCTCTCCGTAGACTTGTAGGTTGATTTCAGTAGTTGGTAATTACAAACCATATATAGTAAGTAAGCCTTATTATGTGTATTATTGGGAGTACATCTGAATGATATCTGTCTTAGGGTTTTCATTGCTGTGAAGAAACACCATGACCATGGCAACTCTTATAAAGAAAAACATTTAATTGGGGTGGCTCACGTACAGTTTCAGAGGTTCAGTCCATTATCATCATGGCAGAAGCATGACGGCATGCATGCAGGTGGTCACTGAGAGTCCTACATCTTGTTGGCAACAGGAAATTGACCGAAACAGTGAGTAGTATCCTGAGCATAGGAAACCTCAAAGTCCGCCCCCACAGTGATGTACTTCCTCCAATAAGGCCACACCTCCTAATAGTGCCACTCCCTATGAGATTATGGGGCCCAGTTATATTTAAACTACCACAGTATCCCAGAAGGGATACTAGACTGCTGGGTCAAAAGTAGCTGATATTACCAAGTTACCCCCAGAAAGGAGTGTGTCTATGCCTATTACACACTCTCTCTTGTTTCCTCTCTCCCATCTCCCCTCCCTCTCTTTTCTCTCTCTCTTTCAGCTCTTCTGTCTTTCCCATTTCCTGTGCTTTTTTAAATGTGTATGTGTGTGTGCCTATGTGAATTTATGTGCATTAATCTGTGATAATATGTTTTACCATAGCCTTAACAAAAGCATGTAATGTTGTACTCTTATTTTATGGAATTTTACTATCTTTTTATAAGGCTGAACATTTTTAAAAGGTTTTTTAAGTTATGTATATGTATGTAGGTTTGTGTATGAATATGTGCACATGAGTGTAGGTGCCTGTTGGGGTCAGAAGCTTAAAGTCCCCTGGAGCTGGTGTCACGGGTAGCTGTGAGCCATTTGACATGGGTGCTAGGAATCGAACTTTGATTTTCTTCAAGTGCCCAAGCTCTTTACCGTTGACTTCTCTCACTGGCCCGGGTTGAACTCCCCCAGCCCTCCCCCACACATATTTCAGAATCGTCTCCTTTCCTTTTACTTCTCTCATCTGCCTTTCCCATTTCCTATGGTTTCACACTTTTCTTCCTGTTTGATGTGTCTGTGTGTGTGCCTGTGTGAGTTTATATGTGCCATGTACATATAGGTGTCTGAGGAAACTAGAAGAGGGTGATGATCACCTCAAACTGGAGTTACAGGCAGTTATAAACCACCAAATGTAGGTGCTGGAATGGAATTTCGGTCCCCTGCAAGAACATTAAGTACATTTGACTGCTGAGCCATCTCTCCAGCTCACTGTGGTTTCCTTTTTAACCTCAATTAAGAAGCCCTTTGTACTTGCAAATTGTATTTTCTTCTAGTTTTTCAGTTCTTTGGTCTTTGTTTGTTGGGTATTTTTATTTGCGTGCTTGTATATTTGTCAGTTCTTAACCAGGGAGGCATTTTAAAAGAATTTTTTTTTTAAATTCTTTTTGTTTTTGTTTTTGTTTGAGACAGGGTTTCTCTGTGTNAGTGCTGGGATTAAAGGCGTGCGCCACCACCGCCTGGCTAGCATTTTACTTTCTATCATGCCAGAGATCCTTTTATTAAGCATGGATTTTTGAGTCATGGTTTAAAAGACTTTTCCTTCTTTCACATGAAAGAGGAGTTCATCAGTTTCCCGCTCCTCCCAGTGTGGATAGCAAATTCTTGAGGTGATGGATTATGTTAAGAGGAAAGACTAACCAAATAAGGTTACAGATTTTTATTAACCATTTTTTAAAATGTGGGTACCTTTCAGGTTTTTGTTGTTGTTGTTATTTCCTACTTAGTGAATTGTTCCTGCTCTTTCTCACCCACCTCCCCCAAAAAAGTTCCTGAAGTTTTATCATATACATGTAATTATTTGCTCTGCTTTCTGTCTGCTCAAGCATCTGTCTCTAAGGTTTGTGTATAAGCACACCAAAGGAAGCTCCAAACATTGATGCTTCCGTTTTAAATACTTGAGAACACTTTAAAACTGAACTCTCTTACCTAATTGTACCATTATCTCACTTAAGAATACAGCATTTATTGTGAGTGTTGGGGAGATCTCCCAGTGAAGGTAGTGGGTCCACTGAATTCAGCAGCACGGATTCTCTTATTTGTCTTTCATAGGTAGGCCTTCTTATGTTTTAAAGTATAAAATATTTCTCTTGCCCGGTAATCCTAGATCACATTACTTAACATAAGAAAAGAATGTAAAAGAAGGAAAACAAGATAAAACAAAATCCTAAATACATATCTGTACTAATAATGTACCTATTAGTGGAAAAACTAGAACAATTTGTTTAAGAGTTGTAGCTTAGTTTGAAAGTCTGGTTTTTGAAGACAGGATGATGCAGTTGTGAAAGTAGTCTTAAAAACCATCAGGGATGTGGAAGCATGTTTATGTTTAAATATAGAACATCATAATGTTTATCCAGACGATGAAACCTGGTAAGAACTTAAGTCTGTGTAAGCCTGGGTAACTGGACTATTTAGAACAAGGTGCTTATATGGGTACAGAATAAAAGGTGTGTCTAATGACCAGATGAAAATCTTGGGAGGACCTGGGGGTAGCAGCAGTGGCTATGTGGTGTGTGCCTGTGACGCTTTATTTTTTTTAGGAAAACTCTAAACCAGGGTCTTTGTGACTTGCTAGACATTGACATCCTGAAACAGGAGAGATCTGTGGTTGGGAGTTGAAGAACTTACTGGTTGCTGCATGAAACACTATAGGACAGCCTTTACAAGAGGACCAGTATGCTGTTAGCAGGCAGAAGACTGTTACCGCAGCACTAGGTGACTTTGTACAGAAACCTGTATGTCATTTATGCAGGTGATTGGTTCTATGGGCACACTAGAAAAATGTCTTTACATACAGATGATCTTCTGAGCAAAATACTAGAACCTGGAATGTATATTAGCTGTGCAATATGTTATTTTTCTAATGTGAGCTTGCTTTTATTTATTTCTTAAAGAACCAGCTGCAGTTTAATAGGAATGTTCCTACACATCCCAGCAACTTGGCAGTCCGATACTCATGTCCACATGCGATTAAAATTGAAAAACTGAAACACTCCTATAATGAATTGTATCATTGTAAAGATGTGGATATTAGAGCTGGACATGATCTAAGCAGCTCTGTCTCATTTTCTGTCATATCAGAAGAGAGGCTTAGCTATGCTGTTCACCTAGCCAAAAGAGATGTAAAACGAAGACAATTTGAAGAGCATGTGAAAGATCATCTCAGAAGCCAGCCCCACAGCTCTCACAAATGTGTCCACGCCGGGGTGGAAAGGAAGGACTCGAAGAGTCAGGATGTCTGTCATTGCAGCCACCAGCCATCCAAAGTAGACATTTCCAGCTCAGGTGCCAAAGTTTATATATACACATCTCATCCAGGACGATCAGATCTTACTGTGCCAAATTCACCACCTACCCATGATCCAGGACTTCAGCCACAACCCAGGATAGAGGAGCACAAAAACCTGTGGGAACAGAAAAGCCTGCTAGAAGTTCAGCGACTCCAAAAGGAATTGAGCAGTTGTATCCATAAAATAGAAGCAGTAACTAAAAAAGGTGAGAAAAACTGATTCTTCATTTGATGAGATATGGTGTAGAATAATTCAAATGCATTAGTTTGGGGGAACCCTCCCCCAACACACACATTACCAAGTTCTGCTGTGAGCTGGTTGGTTCAACCACTATAGGAGAGAGGCTTGGAGACTGACCTGGACCTGGGTCTCCTTTCTTTGAGTTGGCTCTGCCCACTCCCTCTCATGACCTTGCATCTCCTAATACCTGTGTACAAAGTATTCTTTAGTATTTGCTTTGTTAATACTGAAGTGCTCCTGGCAAAATTATGTTTTAAGTTGCTTTAAAAGACCATAGAATATATGTATTATAGATAAACCTACTTCATATCTGACCATACGGTAGAAGGGAAGAAGTATGATCATACACTATTTTCATAGAAATCAGTAATCTCAGGGTCCTTGCATTTATTTGGGAAGTAGTAGATTCAGGAGTAGAGAATAAGGTTATTAAAGCCAACAAGTAGGATGTCAAGCCCAACTCTTTAGCTGGAGCATGAGGAGTTGTGTAGCAAAAGGCGCTATTGGGCTATGATAATACATAGTCAAAAATCTTATTTTGCATTTAAAGATTATGTAAAATGTGAACATATAAATATATGTGTGTTAGAGAAAATTAGTGTAAATACCTTATAAAGTGCCTGTTGGTTGACACAAGATAAAACTACACGTTGAAGTGTGGCTAGATAGGAGACAAAGAACTGAAAAGAGATGTACTAAGGCTGGGTACAAATTTATCTCCTAGTTTCTCAGAACCAGCTACAAAGAAGCTGCCACCTGTTGCAGACCAGTAACATCTAAAACAGAAAAATGAAGCTGCCTGAGAAAACCAACTTACACACACACAGCCAGTCTTCCTATAGAGCATGTTGTATGATTGAGCATCATGGGTGGGCCAGAACATCACCACAGAACACCCCAGAAGTATTGTGGTTTGTGTCATGGTATCCATTAGTGTCAGTCTGTGGCATGATCCCACCAGATACTTTAAGTAGAAGCTAGGCTACCAGGGAACAAAGCTCCCAGGTCTACTGCTCCGGCTTTCTGGCCTAAGTCCCAAGACCTTTAGAACTGAGCTTTGGAAGCTGACCTGGTTTACTTTGTTTATGTAAATTTTTAAAGGATCATCAGTACTTGATAACTATAATAACAATGTCCTGACTGGGGCGGATGACTAAAAATACATGTGAATATGTAGCTTCAGTTTTTGCATTCAGTAGCTGTGCTTCCCAAGCCCAGGTGGGTGTGTTGAATCACCTTCAAGGTGGAGTTAAAGCCTTGCCTAAAGCAGTTCCTGTTTCTGTTCTTACAGGTGTGTGAACATGCATTTCCCCCCCACTGTGTAACCAAATAGAGGCAGCAATAATTAAGCCTTAAATTTTCCCTGTGACTCTTACTTGTATGTGCAACTTCTGGCTTCAAAGTTTTGCCCTTCTTAGCGGCCTAATTGCCTTATTGTTCTTTTTTGACTCTCTTTTTTAAAATCTGGTGCTGAAACTTAAACCCATGCATACTTGGTGAGTGTTGTACTGCCAAACTGCACTACACACCCTGTCCTGCAGCCGTTCAGTCCTAAAGAAACACAAAGAGGCTTTTATTAATTACAAACTGTTTGGCCTGTTAGCTCAGGCTTATTATTAAGTAGTTCTTACAACTTAAATTAACCCAGATTGTTGTCTTTGTTTAGCCACATGGCTTGGCACCTTTTCTCAGTGAGGCATTCTCATCTTGCTTCCTCTGCATCTGGGTGGCAACTGCATCTGGCCTTTCCTCTTTCCAGAGTGCTCTTTGTCTGATTGCCCCACCCATACTTCCTGCCTGGCTACTGGCCAATCAGCGTTTTATTAAACCAATATGAGTGATAAATTTTTACAGTGTACAAAAACATAATCCCACAGCATTCCTCTCTCATGTGTAACATTTTATTGAGAAAATTAAATTCAGAATATACTTATACTTGCAAAGTATTACTTCTATCAAATTGTCTGTTAAGAGTTTTGTAGAAGAATTTGTGTAAATATATTTGAAAACAGTGATCTAGAAGAAGCGTATAGATTGGATTTCCTAGTGGGTTTCCGCTGGAAATGTTTTTTGCTGATCTTTAAAAAATATGGGCAGTTAGTGTGTTCATGAGTGTGCTTCTTCACACATAGATGAAGACTTAGACTTAAAAATCATTCAAATGATTTAGCACTTCTATGTTAATGTGCTAGAGAAAGAATTTCTCATTTGGATTCAGGATAAGAAAGTAAAAATAATCTTACTTAGCATGAAAATAATCCAGTAAAGTTTTTTTTTTTTTTTGAAAATAGAGGAAGTTTTGTGACTTTTGTCTCAGTGTAAAGGGATTTTGAGACAGTAAGAAATGCTTCACAGTGAGGTCCAGTGGGTTTGTCTCAGTGAATTCTGATGTGCAGTACCACTTGCCAGCATCTTCCTGTCCCTCTGTCTAAGTCAGTACACAGCTCAGACTCGGGCTTAGCCTTGGCTATTGGAGGGTAAATCCACTAAGATAGCCTCTTTGTTTTCTTAGTAAGACCCAAGGTCTTCAGCTATTACTCCATTAAGTTCTTAAGGGTTCTTTGAGTTTCTTTGTGTGATTTTTAACCTAGTGTGGGGAAAATACTTTCAGATAGACTAGAGGAAGTTTTGGATCCAGATGAAGAGCATCGAATCCGAGTGAGAAGACAGGAACAAGCTGTGCGCTGTGCTCGCATGCTCTACGTTCTTCAGCAGCAGGTGAGGAAGAGCTGGGGAGGTGGAGCTGGTGTTCTGCATGTGGTGCTCTTAGGGACTTGGAGTTTTCCTTCTGTCACGGAAAGATGAGCCCAAAAGGCCCTGCATAAATTCTAATGGATTTCAGGCTTAATTCCCTGAACTCACAGACAAGTAATTCCCATTATTTTAACAGGTGTGTGTGTGTGTGTGTGTGTGTGTGTGTGTGTGTGTAATGTGCATATGATCAGGCTCCTTAAACTGTTGCTTTTGACTTTGAAGCCATAGACTACTGAATCTACTAAAAGCCATTTTTTTCCTTCTGAAAAAGTGCTTGCACATATGCACCCGAGTCTTAGAGACACTTTCCCATGTGTCTTAGAAAATAACATGGGTTATTCTTTAGTTCGTGCTAGAGAGTGAAGACTGTTGGCTTTCAGGAAGTATTTAACCGTTGATAAACAGGTATTTGCACTGGATTTTTTTTCCTGTGTGTGTCTGTGAAAGATATTTTTTTTTAAATTTAACATTAATTCTTTTTTTTTTTTCCAGGGAGGGTTTCTCTGTTTAGCTCTGGCTGTCCTTGAACTTGCTCTATAGACCAAGCTGGCCTAGAACTCACAGAGATCCTCCTGCCTCTGCCTCTCAAGTGCTGGGATTAAAGGTGTGCACCACCACCACCACCTGGCAACTTTTTATTTGTTAATAGAACTTTAAATCTTTTCTGGTCAAGTTACCTGTTGGTTTTTATAGCTTGAACCAAAGGCTATACTTTCGTTATTTTGTTTAAAGGCAAATGACACAGTTAAATTGTCTTGTGTATTCTTTTTGAATCCTGTGTTGGTTCTTGTTCTACACCATTGCCACAGAGATTGTTCTAGACAGGTGCTATACCACGGACCATATATTCCTAGCTGAGATTGATCTGAAACATGAATCTACCATGTCAGATTTCTACTTAAAGACTTTAGTGTTGCCTGATAGCCTCCCAACCCACCCCCAGTGTGTATGTGTATATATGGTGTGTGAAAGAGCCTTGCTGTGTAACTCTGGCTGACTTAGAACTCAGATAACCTCCTCTTTCTGCCTCCTAGTGCTGAGATCAAAGATATATGTCTCTACACCCAGCAGAAAGCAAAACTCTTTAGTGTAGCACTTAAGACTTAGTGAGTTTGCCCTTCTGTTATTCAGGTTTAGTTCTCCTTACACTGGGAACCTGACGATAGCTCTATTAGCCATTTTGAACTAGAAACCAGTCAGTGTCTTGGGAGTGTAGGTAATGAATGAGAAGCCTTTTCTTATTTTTATGTGATTTAAGTTAATATTTGGTTATATATGGACAAAATGGGTGTTTTTTCTATAGAAAGATAAATGGATATGTATAAAAATTTCATTTCCACCTTTTCATAAAACAGGTAAAAGAAATTCAGGAAGAATTGGATAAATTGAGTCCACATAAAATTAAACATACTAAGAAGGTATGTTATAATTCTGATGAGTGGTTATTAATAGAGTACATTTTACAGTGTTTTATCTGTGTTTATGTACACCTGTTGGGGACTAAACTGCTAAGTGTCTTGAATGTGAAACTGCCTCCCAAGGAAAAGGATCTGAAACAGGTCACTCCTGGTATAGTGCCAGGCCACTGTTTGGTCACTCCTGGTATAGCGCCAGGCCACTGTTTGGTCACTCCTGGTATAGAGACAGGCCACTGTATGGTCACTCCTGGTATAGAGACAGGCCACTGTTTGGTCACTCCTGGTATAGAGACAGGCCACTGTTTGGTCTGGTCACTCCTAGTATAGAGACAGGCCACTGTTTGGTCACTCCTGGTATAAAGACAGGTCAGGTCACTCCTGGTATAACAACAGGTCACTGTATGGTCATCTGCTCAGGAACCCCAAGACCAAGTTCTCAACACAAGGGATATTTATTTGCCCCAGAGAGACAGAGGGTGTGGAATAAGAGACTAAAACAGGAGATAGAGGATGAGGGAGAAGGAGAAGGGTACAAGGCAAGTGGGGAAAGGGATATTTGCCCTGGAAGACAAAGAACTGCCTCTGGATAGAGAGGAGGCAGACGTGGCCCATAGGCAAATGGCAGTTTATAAAGGTAAAATGGGAAACCCAGTGTTAGAATGAGGTGCATAATTTTAATTGGGCATGTTATTTAAGTGAACTAAAGGGGGCTTTTGATTCCTGGACCTCAGTACTTTGGTAGCTGAACCTTGGTACTCAGCCTCAGGAGAAGAAAGTGGCCAAATAATGGAGTAGACTTTGGTGGTTAGCTTTAGGAATGTAATTTAATAGTTTTTTTTAGCAAGGCAGAAGGAATGGGGGAGAAGGGCAAGTCCTGCCAGAGCCATGCTCACTGTGCTCGAGCTGGCCAGAGTCCCTTCACAGACAACAGGAAAGAAAAGATCCTGTTTCTAGAGAACTTGAAGTTGTTTTTATTATTATATTTAATTTTTTGAGACATGATTTCTAGCTTTGGAGCCTTTTCTGGAACTTGCTCTGTAGGCTAGGCTGGCCTCAAATTCACAGAGATCCACCTGCCTCTGCCTCCCGAGTGCTGGGATTTAAGGTGTGTGCTATCATCACTCAGCGAACTTGAGGTTTTACAACAGGGAGCACTTTGTATAGCAGATTGACTCCAGATATCTTTTTTAATTTATTTATTTTACATCCTGACCATAGTTTCCCCTCCCTCCTCTCCCAGCCTCTTTCCCCTCCTTCTTCTTTGTCCCCAATTCTGCTTCTCCTCCATTTTGATTCAGAAAAACGCAGACCTCCTATAGACATCAACGAAATATGGCATATCAAGTTTGCAGTCAGACTAAGCACCTCCCTTGTATTAAGGCTGGGCAAGGCTACCCAATATGAAGACTAGGGTCCCAAAAAACAGCAAAAGAGTCAAAGATAGTGCCTACTCCCACTATTATGGATCCTACAAGAAGACCAAGCTACACACTGTCACATACATTCAGAGGGCCTAGGTCAGTCTCATGCAGGTTCCCTGGTGGTCAGTCCGGTCTCTGTGGGCTCCTATGAGCCCAGGTTACTTGATTCTGTGGGTTTTCTTGTGATGTCCTTGATCCCTTAGGCTCCTACAGACCTTCCTCCCTCTCTTCAGCAAGATTCCCTGAGTTTGGCCTAATGTTTGGCTATGGGAATCTAAATCTGTTTCCATCAATTGCTGGATGAAGCCTCTCTGATGACAGCTGGGTTAGGCACCAATCTATGAGTACAGTGGAATATTGTTAGGCATCATTACATTGACTTTTTTCTATCCAAGGTCTCTGGGCCATTCAGCTTCTGGGTCCTGGTGCTCCAGGCAGTGTCAGGGGTGGTTTCACTCTTATTGATTGGGTCTGAGGCCGAACAAATTATTGACTGGCCACTCCCACAATCTCTGCACCACCCTTACCCCAGCACATCCTATAGGTGGTAGAGACAGTAGGTCAAAGGTTATGTGGCTGGGTTAGTGTACCAGTCCCTCCATCAGAAGTCTTGTCTGGTCACAGGAGATGGTCAGTTCAGGCTACTGTCCCTTATTGCTAGGACTCCAGATATTTTTAAAGGTTGCTGTGGTGTTAGGAAGTCAGAACCTGAAATAACCTCTCGCTTCTTGTTTGTTGCCAGTCGTGGGCAATGTCTAGGCTGGCAGCTGCTCATCGAGGAGCCATCCGGGCCTTACAGATGTTTGTCACTCAGTTTACTGACCGAGGAGAGCACCCAGTTCCTGCTCGGTGTAAGGAACTGGGCAGCCTTATTCGTCAGCTTTCGCTGTGTTCTGCCAAGCTGGATACTGATCCTTCTGTGCCAGATGTGGTCATAGACATCTTGCAGCAAATTGAGGTATGAAATAGACTACAGTTTTTGTTAGAAAGAGTGTTGTTTCAAGGCAGGGAAATAATACTGAATCTCTCTAGGTCCAGTCAATGAGAATACAAGACAAAGCTGCTGCCTGGTAACTTAATACTTTTCAGAGAACATAAGTTTGCATTTTTATTATTTTTACACTTTTCTCTTTATTATTTTTCTCTTCTTTGAGAGAAGGAATGATATGATAAGTCAAAGAACACATACTGTGGCACACATGCCCACACATCATCTATACTCAGAGTAATGAAAGAGTAAAAAGGAAAGGAAAATGGCAAGGAATTCTCAGATTAGTACGTACTTACTAATATTTGATCTAGATAGCTTCTAGGAAAGAAACACTTAGGATACATGCAAGTGAGAGCCTCAGGATCTGGGATGACTGGAGACATCTGGCATTCCTCAAGTGGTGTGTTCTAGTCAGGAAGGGACAGTCTTCTTCCTTCTCATTGGTAACAAAGACAGCATTAACAATGAGCTCTGGTTTTATAGTTTCATAGGTTTGTGGAGTCCTGCAACACAATGTAGCCTTTCACTCTTCCCGGGGTACCCTGGCTTGCAGATGCATTTGTTACTACTAACTTATATTGTTGCTGTTTCTGGCTTGCAAGTGCATTTGCTATTACTAACTTATATTGTTGCTGTTTCTAAAACAAAGGTCAGAGTGTGCTCTTGAGGGCAGGAACTAACAAGCCACCTATGCCAGTGTTACTTCTGTCCTGCATTTTCATCCAAAAAATAGGAAAAGATAGACTTATTAATAAGCTGTTGGCCCTTGTGGAAGAGTGGCATAGTAGGGAGAATTCCGTCTACCACTAACTGGCTCTGGTGGTCATTAAATCATGTTTTGCTATTGCAGTCCTGTTTAGCAGATGTCTGTGATGAACTTTGGTTACATCTGTGTAGACACAGCGCTCTATCAGGAGTGTAAATGTCAAGGGCAGGTCTTAGAGCTTTGACAGCACATCATACCGTGTCATTCATGCTCTTTAGCTTACCTACATGACACATTACTGAACTAAATAATTTCATTTAGAAGACCTGTCTTCCAGACCCTAGAGAGGATCTCAAGAGGTTGCCCCATCTCCTGAGCAAGAGCACCTGGAACAGTGTATCTCAAGCATAATGTAGATCTCCTCTAGTTTTGAAAATATTCAGCAATATAGGAAATTAAATTCTTGTTGATTCCTTGCCTGCCTTACTATCTTGTTTCCATATGATCCTGCGAATTCACCCTCCCTGACTGTGCTCTGTTGACTTTAATTGTACTGACCAGTACTGCCTGGGTGTGCCTTAGAGACATGCACCTGCCATTACTGCCATAGACAGACCCTGGACTGCTAAGTTCTGTTAGTTTATGGAAATGTATGTTCAGTACAGTGTGTTTACCCACATAAAGCACTGCTTGAGTTTATGGGATTTTGTTGAAAATGAACACATACAGCTGTGTTTGAAGACTGGTTAGTTTCCAAAGTGATGATTCTGAATTTTAAGGTTAGGGCACCTATTAAAAATAGTCATACTTGCCGGGCAGTGGTGGCGCACGTCTTTAATCCCAGCACTCGGGAGGCAAAAGCAGGCGGATCTCTGTGAGTTCGAGGCCAACCTAGTCTACAAGAGCTAATTCCAGGACAGGCACCAAAGCTACAGAGAAACCTTGTCTTGGAAAAAAAAAAAATAGTCATACTCAGAACATCTTTGCTGTTGATTTAAATGAGCTAAACTAGTAAAAGAACCTGTAAAAGTTATTTTTATAAGTTGATCACTTGTTGAAATAATACTGATTTTAAATTAAATGAAACACCTTGTTAACCACTAGAGATAGCCAGGTGTTATTTTCAATGTTATGACTAAAGTCTTACTTTAGTGAGATAAACTAATAGAATAACGACTGTTTTCATGACAGGCTTTGGAGTCTCTCCTGGAAAAGAAACTGTCACCTAAAAAGGTAAAGAAATGTTTCACAGAAGTGCGGAGCAGATTCCCTATTGGTAGCCAAAGAATCTTAGAGAAAGGGGCAACTATACTGCCCAAGAATGAGAGGAGACCCTTGGTCACAAAGGAGACATTTCCACAGGAATCCAGTCGACCTTCTGTGGCAAAGAGGCTCCTTGATGGTATGTGTCTCAAATGTTACTCTGTGAGAGTGGCTGCAACAGTTACTGGGGGAGGAGGATGGAGGGGGGGATGGGAGGAGGTGTTAGAATTTGTGGCTCTGTCCATGAGAACTGCCTTGAAGCTAGGATCAGGAAGTAGCAGCAAGTATCTGTCCTAGGACTGGAGGCTGGAATATGCTGCCCCAGAAGACTGTGAGCAAGTCAGATCCCCTTTGCTCTATCATGGTGCCACACTGATTGTATTGTACTAACTGGTGTGTTTTTGTGTGTTTCTGGATCCTCATCCTAGGAAACAGATTGTTAGGTTGTATGGTATGCACATTTGAGCAGATGCTGCCAGTTTACCCCTTAAAAGTAGGTATATGATCATGTTTTAATGAGCAGTATTTTATATAAGAAGATCTGAATGTTTCCGGCTTCCGTGGGGAATTACCCCCCCCACACACACACACACATACACCACCGAGACAGGGTTTTCTGTGTAGTCTTGGCTGTTGTAGAACTCACTCTGTAGACCAGGCATCTTATAGTTGCGTGTTGTAGTTCTGTCCTCTTGAGGACTGTTCATGGCTTCCTTACCCATGCTTATTTCTTCTGTGCTGATTTTCCCTTTTGTATTCTTTATCCTTCTCTTTGTTGAGTTCTACTGCTTTTACTTACGAATATAAAAGTTCTGTGGATACTGTAGCTATTGATCTTACTCATATTTTAATACTTGACAACTGATTTTCCTTTGTTATTGTTCAAAACTTTGCTGGTCATTGCTCACTGTGAGAAACTGAGAGTGAGCTTCTTGTGTGTGGGAATGCTGCAGGCAGTCTGTCAGCTTGTGGGGAAGAGGCGGCTATGCAGTGTGATCACTTCTTGTGGCCTTTTTTCTAGACCTTCAGTCCAGTGGAGAGGCCTCTGTATAGGGGTTTATAAATTCCCTAGTTTTTACTGCTGTTGTGAATGACATTTTTTGTTAATTAAGAAATTGGCTGTCACGACTTGAAGGGAAGCGCCTGGGTTTGTGTATTGGCCTCATATCTGGCAGTGCCTTGAAGTCTATTGTGATCCTGTGTCTTATTAGGCCTGCACAGCTGGGGACTTCTGAAACCGCTTGCCTTGTTATAGTCTAGAGAGCGAGCCTTTGCACATCAGTAAGATGATGCAGCACCTCTGAGCTACACAGCCAACAGAGGGCATCCCCCAAGCCCTGAGGTAGAGCCATCCTGCTGAGTCTTATAACTGAGGCTGACCTGTAACTTTGCAAACCTCATGTCGTAGGCTTCTTGGTGCTAGGATTACAGGTATGAGCCACAATATCCTGCTAAGGGATGTGCTTGGTAATTAATTGTAACATTTAAATTTTCCAATATTTAAAGTTCCCAAGGACCCAATAGCAATGTGTGTTATAAGTTGATGCTTCAGATTTGATGAAATAAAGGTTTTGTTGCTTATTTTTTTTGTCATTTTCCAGATAGTTGAGATAACCTATAAACATGGGTAAAACCAGTAAATTAATTTTTCTTTCTAAAAAAAAGTTCTATTTTGGGGCTGGAGAGAAGACTCCATAGTTAAGAGCACTGGCTGCTCTCCCAAAGGACCCAGGTTCAATTCCTAGTACCCACATGACAGCTCACAACTGTCTATAAACTTCAGTTCCAGATCTGACATCCTCATGCAGACAAACATGCAAGCAATACACCAATGTACATAAAATGAAAATAATTTTTTAAAAGTTCTATAGTATTTATAATTATAGTTATATGTGTAGGTCAGAGGACAACTTTGAGGGATCAGTTCTCTTCATCTGCCATGGGTTCCAAGGATTGAACTCAGGTTGTTGGTTCACAATAAGTCCTTTTTATCCTCTGAGCCATCTTCCTGGCCCTTGTCTTCATTTTTTAATTGTTATTGCTGTTTCTTTTTTAACACTGTCGTAGATCTCTATATTTAACCTTAGATTTACTGAGAGTAATGGCATGTTGAATTTCCTTTGACCTTCTTTTGTGTTTTTCATTTGCCAAAATTTGGGTTTTCTATTTGTTTGTTTTCCCACATTGTAATTTACTATGTCAACATTTTTCTTTTCTTGAAAGCAGAAACTTCTGTGAGTATCTCACCTCTGTTGGTGTGTTTGTTGATCTTCTGTGGACCCTGAGCAGCGTAGTGTTCTTCCTGTAGCCTCAGTGGAGCACTAAGTGATGACCAGAGGAGCAGTTAGCGTTGAGTGTGTGTAGAGGGGGCTCTGTAGTTCTGACAGGTGAAGAGCCCGGTCCCACAGGTGGAAGGCTCAGTTCCAGAAGACTGCCTCACTTGCGATGCCAGTTGCAAGTCTTGGGTTGTAACCTGCAGCTCTAAATCTAGGCTTGCTGGGATTGCTCACTGAACTCCCATTCCTCCCATTACCAAGGATGCTACACCAGGTACAAGTGAATAGCCGATGGGAGATACCTAAGGCCAGGAATGTGGGAAGGGGAACACGACCTCCAGATGGTGTTGTATGGATATATGTATATAGCAATCCCAAAGTTCCCGGAAGCCCATGGTGTAAGAGCTTCCATTACATGGGGCTTTCATCACATAGGCATGCTTGATTATAACTCGAGTCTTGCCTCCTATGTTCTACCCTTCCTTGAGTGTGGGGCTAGAATAAATTAAACTTGCCCTGGAGCCAGAATAGGAAGCTGGGCTTTGCACTCACTCTTGTGACCTTGAGCAAATTCTCCATTTATTTCCTCACCTAAAGAATCTAACCTGTTCTGTCTGCATGGTGGGACTCAGGTGGTGTAGCAAACATGAGGCATGGTAACAGCCACATTGTCACATTTGCTGTGGAGTGAAGCTTGCCTATAGGTAGCTGGTTTGCAAGTTTTGTGCATTTGCTCCTGGAGAGCAATGTGGTAATCTTTAGTATTATTTTTCTTGTTCTTACAATCTTTCAGAAGGTCATGTTTTTCTTTCTGTTTTAGATACCTCTTCCTCTTCCTAAGTCTTCATTCTAATTTCCTGGATTCCTCCTCCCTACCCTGTACCTCTAAAATGTCACAGGGAGCCCCAAGGGAGGGAAACTGCCTCTGTGTCATTTGGTATTTATGACTGGGCCTGATTGGATCAACTACCTTGTGATTTAAGTACTTGTTGACTGGTGCGGTTCTTAGAGGCTGTGCCTACTGATTGCATTAGTGTACTGTGTGAGGATGTAAGGAGCTGTAAGGCTGGTGGCCGCCACTCTGCTGGCAGCAGTGTCTTCAGACTCAGCTCCCCAGGAATTTGCACTGCATTTGCCGTCTGATTGATGCCATTCATAACTGAAAAGGTGTCAGGACCTAGCAGCCAGCGTTGCTTCAATAGATGTAATCTTGGAAGTTCCTAAGCTGCAGCCTAGCAGTCAATCCTGGCATTCTTCTGCTCTGGTTTATATCCCTTTTGAGAACATCTGAGGAAAGCAGTGCTTGGGGGAGTCCAGATCCTGACTTACTGCTGCTAAGGAAGAATTTGAATAAAGCTTTCCTTTGGCTCTTAAATATTCTAAACAGAAAGGAATGAAAATAATAAATACCATGTATTTACTATGCAGTTTTAAATATTTTTGTCTGTAATTTTTTTTTTTTTCAAAAATCATGACAAGTCCCTTAAATATTTCCCTCATACCGTTAGGACCCTGTCCTGTTTTTATGTCTGAGCTGCTCATGTATGTGTCCATAATATATTGCTTCTCATATGTATTAATACATGTATGTATCGTATGATACATACAGTATGTATCAGCCTATAGTGTGCTTCCCTCTTTTTTTTTTAAATATTTATTTATTTATTATGTATACAATATTCTGTCTGTATGCCTGAAGGCCAGAAGAGGGCGCCAGACCTCTTTACAGATGGTTTAGCCACCATGTGGTTGCTGGGAATTGAACTCAGGACCTTTGGAAGAGCAGGCAATGCTCTTAACCACTGAGCCATCTCTCCAGCCCCAGTGTGCTTCCCTCTTATTTAAATTAGTAGACTTGTTCATATTAATAGGTGAAATCTATTTTTTCCCAATTCAAACTCCGGGCCTTACATAGTAGGAAAGCTACATTCCCCAGTTCAGAGAATTCTAACTTTCTTAATTGTGTGGGTTTCCCTTGTATAAATAAACCATAGATAACTTTTCATCTCTTCAGACTTATTAATGAGCACTTGGGTTTTTCTCAATTTCTGTCATAGATCTGTGTATGTGATGTAAGATCTCACTGTGTTGACAGGATGGCCCAGAACTCCTGAGTAGCTGAGAGTATACACAGATGACACGATGCCACTATGCTGGCTGCTTCTGCTTTTAGAAACAGTGACAGGGTGAAGTAAAAGCCTGTGCCTCTCCCCTTTGTGTTCATATATGCAAGTTCCCTGGGCCCAGTGTGCCTGTGTTGCAGCTGCTGCACTGCAAATCCTCAGCCTTACTAGGAGCGTCGATTGATCGATCAGTCGAGCCACCCTTCAGAGGAGTTAACCAGTTGACTCCTGTGCTAGTGGCTTCTGGGTTCCCTCCTCATCTATGTTTGGATCATATTCACATTTTCCCAGTCTAATGGCTGTGAATGCTAACTTATGGCTCAATTTTCCTGATTACTAAATGAAGTTTGTTGTTTTTTTCATGCTTTTATTGGGCACTTGTTTTTTTGCATAAATTGTAGTTTCTATACTTGTTAACATTTCTCTGTTGGACTACTTATTTCCTTTCTAGACTTGTAAAATTCTTCATATCATTGGAGTATTGATCCCATGTTAAGTATATGTATTTCAGGGATCTCTTTCCAAATTTGGCTGATTTGTTATGGTGACTTTTGATCAAAAGCTGTAGTTCAGTGTAAATAAGCCCTAATAAGGCAACATCATACTTGAGTTTAAGAAAGTCTTTTCTGTCCTGATGATGTGATGATATTCTCAGAGAATAAAAAACCACTTCCTTTAGGACTATGATGCTGTGACCCTTTAATACAGCTTCCCAGGTTGTGGTGCCCCCAGTCATAAGATTGTTTTGTTGTACTTAATAACTCTAATTTTGCTACTGTTGCGAATCCTAATATAAATATCTGATATTCAGGGTATTCGATATGTGACCCACCTCCCAAGGAAGGGGTCACGACCCACAGGTTGAGAACCACTGCTTTAGGATTTCATGCTTTTGTGAGCTGCTGTTCAGGGGCCTTCTACTCTGATATTTGATATGTGGACTGTAGTAATCTTTAGGTCATACCTGCTGATCTGTGGTTCCTATCCTGTGCCATTGGTTCCTATGTTCCCTCCACACTGCTTTGACCATTGCAGCTCCTGCTAAGGTTCTCATCTCTGGTCAAGAAAGGCCCCACTTCTACTTCAATCCCCATTTTGTTGTTACTATTCAAATTTGCTGGGCTAATTCTTTTCTTTCTTTCCTTCTTTCTTTTTTTTTTTTTTTTGGTTTTTTGAGACAGGGTTTCTCTGTAGCTTTGGAGCCTGTCCTGGAACTAGCTCTTGTAGACCAGGCTGGCCTCGAACTCACAAAGATCCGCCTGCCTCTGCCTCCAGGCTTTTACACTTCTCATGAATGTTTAAAATTAGATTTATTATTTTATGTGTGAATGTTTTGCCTGCATGTACATATGTGTACCATGTGCATGCCTGGTGCCCTCAGAAGTCAGAAGAAGGCATGGATTCCCAGGAACTGGAATTACGAATTGTTGTGAATCATTCTGTTGGTACTGGGAACCTAACCTGGGCCCTTCTAAAAGAACAAGTGCTCTTAAATGCTAAGCCATCCCTCCAGTCCCTTCACACAGATTTTAGAACCAATGTATTTAGGTTTCATCTGTTTGCTTTGTGTTTTGGTAGTCTTACCATTGTAGCTCTGGCTGATTTGGGACTTGTTGTGTTGTCCTGACTCACCTCAAACTCAAAGAGATCCACCTGCCTTTGCCTCCTAAGTGCTGGGAATAAAGGTGTGTGCCACCGCACCCAACTAGATCAGTCTGTTTAGACACACACACACACACACACACACACACACACACACATTATACTTTGATATAAATTTGAAATTATAGATCTCTTAGTGGAGAATTGACATCTTTACAATGTTCAGTCTGTAAATAAAAACTTGATTCAGATTTTCATTTGGTACTTAGCCCAACACTGCAAAAATAAATAAAATAAAAGCTTTGAAATGTTTTGTATGAAATTCCTATGAGCTTCTCGTTAGGTTTCCTCCTCATTTTCTTGGTGTTCTTGTATTTGTATATCTGTGTTTGCTGTTGCTTGTTCCAGGACTGGAACCCAGGGCCCCACTCATGCTGACATTCTGGCACTGAGCCATCACTCAGCCCCACCTCAGTCTTTGTTAATGTTAATGGGATATTGTTCCTATTACGTCTCCTGAGTAGTTTATTCTGTGACTTTTGTATATTGCTCTTATGTATAGAAATTTGACTGAGAAGTCTCATTAATAAGAGTTAATCTGTATTCCAATTTTCCTGAATTGTCTATATAAACCTTTCTCTCATTTTTAAAAAAAAGGTTTATTTTCTTTTTTATTGCAATGGGATACCATGTATGCAGAATACACTTCATACTATATTCTATATCAAATTAGCTTTCAAAGATGTTGAATAGGGAAAGAAATTTTTAAGTGTTTTCATTTTTTAAAGTTTTTAATCTGAGGAAGAGGGATGGCATAGTGGTTAAGAGCACTAGCTGCTCTTCCAGAGGACCTGGGTTTGATTCCCAGCACCCACATGGTGACTCACAGCTGTCTTTAACTCCAGTTCCAGATCTGAGGGTACCAGGCATACATATGATGCATGCACAGACATATTTGTAAGCAAAACACTCATCCACATAAAAGAAATAAATTTACAAAAATAAAGTGTTTTATCATTCATTTGTATGTATATTTGTGCACCTTTACATGCAGTGCTCATGGAGTTTAAAAAGTAGCATTGGAAGCCCTGGAACTGAGGTTATGCATGATTGTGAACCACTGTGTGGCTGCTGGGAACTGAACCCAAGTCCTGTACGAGAGCATTAAGTGCTTTTAGACACTGAACCATCTCTGGCTCCAATATTTCCATTTTAGAAATACAATGTCTTAGTTAAGGTTACTGTTGCTGGGATTGAAACACCATGACCAAAGCAACGTGGGGAGCAACTTTCTCATAGTTCCACTTAACAGTTCATCATGAAAAGCAGTGAGGGTAAGAAATACAGGGCAAGAATCTGGAGGCAGGAGCTGATACAGAGGCCAGGGAGGGGTGCTGCGTACTCATTTGTCATCATGGCTTGCTCAGCCTGCTTTCTTATAGAACCCGGGCCTACCAGCCTAGGAATAGCACCACCCACAATGGGCTGGGCTGTCCCTCATTAATCACTAATTAAGAAATACCCTACAGCTGGACCTTATGAAGATATTTTCTTTCAGTTGAGGTTCCCTCCTTTTGAATGACTCTAGTTTGTGTCAAGTTAACATAAATCTTCATAACATAGTAAGCACAATATGGTAACCCAGTGAAAATATAATTACAATCAGCAGGGAGCCAGTTTGGGGAGTATTTTATAGTCAAAAGGCCCTTGAGAGGCCAACCTGGGTAGGAGCAAGACATATTGCAGAATTAGGACCATAGATAAGAACTGGAAATCAGTAAATATGGGTCCTGACATTGAGGGGGCTCCAGCCATGGTGCTTGGGCATTGGTAATTTCAACTTTGGTGGTACTGGTAAGGGAGGCAGCCAGTTGCTGTAGGATAATGCTCTTGTACACTGTAGAAATTTGTTACTTGTATTAGTTTAATAAAATGCTGATTGACCAGTAGCCAGGCAGGAAGTATAGGCAGAGCAACCAGACTAAGAAAATTCTGGGAAAGGCAGAGAATCAATCAGTCATCAGCCAGATGCAGAGGAAGCAAGATGAGAATGCTTTACAGAGAAAAGGTACCAAACCACATGGCTAAACATAGACACGAATTATGGGTTAATTTAAGTTGTAAGAGCTAGTTAGTAATAAATCTGAACTAATAGGCACTCAGTTTCATTTTATTTTTTAAAGTGTTTTTCATATTTATTAAATATTTTTAAATATTACTTATATTGTATACAATATTCTGTCTGTGTATATGCCTGCAGGCCAGAAGAGGGTACCAACCTCATTACAGATAGTTGTGAGCCACCATGTGGTTGCTGGGAATTGAACTCAGGACCTCTGGAAGAGCAGGCTATGCTCTTAACTGCTGAGCCATCTCTCCAGCCCCGGCAGTTTTAATATAAGCCTCTGTGTGTTTGTTTGGTACTGAACAGCTGCGGGACCAGGCAAGATAAAAATTCTGTCTATAACAGGTGTGGCAGCAGAGCTCCCTGCTTTTCACAGAGCTGGGCTGGAGGTGATAGCCTCTGTGCTATCCATTCATTCTGCTTGTGTGGCTAAGTAGAAATTTCTCCTCTGAAATCTCTGTAGATGTCTGCCAGCCTGATGTGGAGCTTCCAGTGACTCAAAGGTTGGAGAGTGAACTTGGTGTGGTAGACGAGGACACTCTTTCAGAAGCCCCTTTTATATCGGACCACGGTTCAGGCATCAAGGATGAAACACTAACTCCAGCAAAAACACGAGCAGTGAGAAAGAAGACTGCAATGGAGCGTGTGCCATTTAGGAAGAAAGACACTTCGGAGTCAGCCAGACTACAGCAGGTATGAAGCCTTTTCTTTCCTGTGACCCATTTATATGCATCTGATGTTTTCCAAGGCCCTACAAGCTACTAAAGGGTAGGACCAGCATTTGTTTGGGGGCAGATGGTTGCCTCAACCCTGGGTCCAGCAATCTAAGTTGGCTTACTTAAATCCAGGTTTTGCTTTTTATTTTAACAAAAGCCAGTTTGTAATGGTAGTATAGGGTATAGCATTCCATCCTTCCCTGATTCAGGAAGATCCTAATTAATTCAATACCATCATCATAATTAGAAAACTTGTCTTAAAATTCAATATTTGAGGGGCTGGAGAAATGGCCCTGAGGTTAAGAGTACTGTCTGCTCTTCCAAAGGTCCTGAGTTCAATTCCCAGCAACCACATGGTGGCTCACAGCCATCTGTAATGAGGTCTGGTGCCCTCTTCTGGCCTGCAGGCATACACACAGACAGAATATTGTATACTTAATTAAAAAAATTCAATATTTGAAAGTGCGAGAGTTGAGAGGATTTAGATTCTGTTATGAGTGGTCAGTGGAAATGCTGTTCCACTGATGGCTCAGTGGTTTTAGGAGTACTTGCTGCCTTTCTAGAAGACACACATGGTGGGTAAGTGCTTTTTAGTATGACTTTGGGAACTAGCTGGGTAGTTAGAGCGTGTGGCCTGAAACTACCTTATATTTTAGACTTCTGTCTAAAACTTCCTTACAAGTCTGTTGGCTCAGTGGTTAGCACTGATTGCTCTTCCAGACCTAGGTTTGATTCCAAGCAGTCACATGGTAGCCCACAACCATCTGTAACTCCAATTACAGGATATCTAGTGTCCTTCTCTTGTCTCCATAGGCACCAGGCATATACGTATAGTACACAGATATACATGCGGGCAAAACATCCATACACATACAATTAATTAACTAATAAAAAAATTCGACAGCAACAACAAAAAGCTTCCTTATGGTCCTACAGTGGAAAACTGGCTAGATGAGCACCTCTGGTCCGAGTGCACTTACTGCTGTGGCTGCCATTCAAGTAGTACTATCCAGAGGCTTCTGCAGCAAGCCTGGGTATTATCACATCACCTTAGAAAAGGAAATCTGGCAGTTTACTAGTGTTGTAGTTTCCTTTCTCTTGCTGTGGAAAAATCATCAAATTGGGAGGAAAGGGTTTTTGTTATTGTTTTGTGTGTGTGTGCAGTAGTTCAAGGTAGGAAAGTGAAGGCAGGAACTGAAGCAGAGACCATGTTGGAATCCTTTTTACTGACTTGCTCCTCATGAACTCCTCAGCCTACTTCATTATACAACCTGTATGCCTACAGTGGTACTGCGTACAGCAAATTGGCTTTTCATATCACTCATTAATCAAGAAAATGCCCCACAGACTTGCCTCCAAGCCAGTCTGGTGTAGGTACTTTCTCATTTGAAGTTCCCCCTTTGTGAGGATTAAAACACTAATCAGCCCTGCCAGTAACCAACAGGTCATGGATTGCGATCAAGTATTTATTTCTTCCCAGATAAACTTGTAATGAGGTCACTGGGAAGTCAGGAGTGAGTCTACTTGGAGGTTCTTCTCAGCCTCATGCCTGATGGTATTTGAAATTGTGTGGTTCATTGTGGTTAGACTAAGGTTCAAAAGGTTATTTTAGCCAAGAACATTTTACAATTTACCCGTAAACAAAAATGGACTTTTAAAAGGTGAGATTTATTAAGGAAAAAGATAATAACTTTCATACATATAAATGTGGAAAATGGAAAAGCCAAGGATTCCAGACCCACCCTTGCCCAGTTTTAGTTCAGTATTATCTCTATGCTTCCCACGTTTCCCTCGGAGTGCTTTCTGTTAGCTTGTAGAACGAATGCAAAGAGGCACATGGAATTTCCTGGGGGTCAGAGGTTGAAACTAGAGTGCCCTTAATATTTGTTTGTCTTTGTAATACGTGTGCGCTTCTTTCAGGGACTCCACGTGTTTGAAAGAAATCAACCAAACCAACCTTACAGCAAAAGCAGGTTGCAGCAGACAACAGTGTCATCCAGATTAAAAATGAACCGACAGCCTGTGAAAGACCGCAGGGCTCCTTGGATACCTCCGAACCCCACGTCTCCACCAGCCTCTCCGAAATGGTATGCAAGAATTCAAGGACCGAGTTTCCATGGCTTTATTTTTCTTCCACAGATGACACACATTTAAAACAAATAATAATAGGCTTCATTCTTCCCCTTGGGCAAAAATGCTTATTTGGGTGAGTAATACATGAGTTTTTTGTCTGGAAGCCTGTTGGTTCCTTTTTTACCTGTCCATGGAGTACCTCGATGCCCAGTGGGTATGTGTCATTGTAGGAAAGATTGTGACTGTTGTCTGTTCCGTGAATAGATTGTGCTCACCTGAGACTGGGCATTGTATCTCTCTTATGTCTTAATATCCAATGCCTACACATAATAGGCACTCACTTAATCTCGGCTGAGTGAATATTTTTAAATAATTTAATTCCAAGTCAAGATAGCTGTGAACTCTGAGCTCATCCATATTCCCTGACTCTGCTAACATTACTGTCTTGTTACCTACACTCATCAGGACAACAGTGTGGATCTACTCTCCACAGGGGTAGAGAGGAGGTACTGTTCTCAGGGAGAGCAGGGTCCAGTTTGAAGTAGGCTCACGAGAGCATGGTGGCTAAAGATAAAGGGGAGCTTGTTTGTGGATTTGGGAATCCTTGATGGCACAGTGGAAAAAGCTAGAAGGTCTAGCAGTGCTAAAGGGGAAGCAAACAGCAGGGACTCCTTATGTGCATGCCTGGTGTGACTCCATGGTAATGTGCACCCCTTAGCCTTGAGAAAAAGGAAGAGGACCAGAAGCTTCTGTTCCACTCGTCACAGACTGGGCCTTCTGACCTGACTGTGTAGGGCTTTTTGTTGTTGGTTTTGTTTAACAGCCCTGGCTGTCCTGGAACTTGCTCTGTAGACCAGGCTAGCCTGAACTCAAAGAAATCCGCGTGCCTCTGCCTCCTGAGTACTGGAATTAAAGGTGTGTGCTGCCATCGCCTGACTGATTGTGTGTTTTTGTTTGTTGTTGTTTGCTTTCATGAGTTTGTTCTGATTTCTTTGTTTTATACAAGTCAATACAGGTTGAAGTCTGCACCGCTAAACAAGTACACAATATACTAGCTTCTATACCAACAGTTCTCAACCTATGGGTCTCTACCCCTTTGGGGGTCAAATAACCCTTTCTACAGGAGTTACATATCAGTTATTCTGAATACCAGATATTTACATTGTAATATTTAACAGTAGCAATGGAAATGATTTTAGGGTTGGGGTCACCACAGCACGAAGAACTGTATTAAAGTGTTGCAGCTTTAGGAAGTTTGGGAACCACTGCTCTAGACAGTATGATGGTGGGGGAGACATGGGGCAGATAAGACTTCCTAGATCACAGTGCTGTGTGAAACCTAACACAGACATTTAGAGGACTTGGGATATTATTAGGGACTCATGTATTTAAAGCATGTTTTGTTGAAGTACATTCTTTATTCTATGACAGTTTTTTTAAATTAAAATAATGACTGCTTCTTTGAGGCAAAAGGATCTTCTCCCTTTGACACTGGGCATGAGAGCTAGAGGACCTTTCCCTGCCACATTCGTTCTGCCATCAGGCGCCAGGCACTGAGCTGTAGATCAGCATTGCCATGGTGCTCTTAGGATGAGTCACAAGTGGACGAATGATTGCCAACGACATGCTTTCCATTTGGTGCAGTGCTGCATGGCTAAAGGTGAAGTCCAGTCCCAGAGATGCTGCAAAGGAACAATCTCTCCAGCAAGAGGATGCCCCCGAGGAAAGTCAGCTGGGAGGTGCTGCCGAGCAAGAAGCAACCAGGTTTGTAATGATATATATATATGACTCTGAAGCAAAGCCCTTGTCTTTTCTGTATCTCAAGGTGATTATTTAAAACAGATTGCTAAACTTTTCTATTACGCTCTCCAGCTTACCCCAGGCCCACCACTCTTTTATTCTTTATTTCATTCATTCGAAACTTCTATGTGTGTCATTTGCCAATTTGTAAATGGCACAGTTGTGCACTATGTGCACGTTTTAAAAAAAGAGAAAATAAGTCAGTGGAAAATACATGTAATTAGCTGTGATTTAAGACAGAACATGGTATGCACCCTAAGATCTGGGCAAGTTCAGTATGTGGAGTGTTTACCTTTTGCTATAGAGAATGAAGTTTCATGCAGGGAGGTAGGAACTAAACCAGGACTTGCACGGGCAGGAATAAATGTGAGGGGTTTAATGAGAATGTTCCAAGGGAAGACAGCAGGGAAAACAGCTTGCTCTGCATTTGTTTGGCTGAAATTACCCTGGCACTTATGGGAAAGCAAAAATGGAAATGGGTATTAGGGCTGGGGGGTAGCTCGGGAGTACAGCACGGCTCCAGTGTGTGTGAAGTGCACTGTGCTCCAGTATCACTCTGAAAAACAGAATGGGCCATTTGATAATTTGGTGATAATCACATAGCTAAAGCAGAAGAATCAAAGCTCTTTCACATTCACATGCAATAAAATTGTTTAGAGTTAACTTTCCCCTTTTGTTTTTATTTGATTTTATTATACCTTCACTGAGGTCTGTTTGTAAACTGTGTTGAGAGCAGTGATGGTTGGCTTTCTTGTCGGCAGCTTCTTGTGTATGTGCCAATTGGGTATGACTGTCCTTTTGTAGGAATATACTGTGGATGCTTTCATGGGTATATGGAGGATACATTACTATTTGAATCCTTTCATAGAGCCAGGAATGGTGCTGGGCTGCGGGAGGGCGCTCATTTCTGCTCTGTTTCTGTGGTAGTGATACCCTGTGGCATTGAGGCATGGTTACCTTAACTCTTCTGTTAGGCTTCCTTGGCCAGATGCTGAGTCTTCCAAAAGATTGAAGGAACTAGAAGACTTGGAAGCCAAAGAAGTAGAAAGGATGCAAAAACAGAGGTAAATATTTGTTTCTGAGGTAAACAAGAAGGCATCTTGTTCTGCATCTCACTCCTTTGACAGTGAGTCAGGATTGGTGACATCAGCCACACTTCTGCTTCCTGGCTTGCTGCCTCCTGAAGACTGGAAAGCTACCTGTGAAGCCTGAGGGAGCGCCAAAGAGAGAAGCCCAGGAAGCCCTGACTCTACTTTAAAGAGAGTTATCGTGCCTTTACCTCCCTCTAGGCTTGAGTGGCTCGAGGCTGAGACTTCTCGAAGAACCAAAGAGCTGGATGAACTGAAAGCTGAAGAAATGGATAGACTTCAAAAATTAAGGTATAGTTTGCCACTGGGGAGTGAGAGGGTATGTGTTTCTAGCTGATTGAGCCTTATAGTTTGAACAGCCATCCTGGACTTTCTTGACCTCACCTCATTCAAGATGAGTAACTGAATGAAGACTGGCAGAGGGTGAGTGGGTGTGCAGGTGAGTGTGAACGATGAGTGTGTAGATGCTTTGTTTCTCATGTTAGCCTGAATGTGGTCTCAGGTTTTCAGGGGAGGTTGCTCCCCCTCATTCATCCCCTCAGAGTGCTGCCACCTAACAGGCAATGAAGAAATATGTTTACCAAGTAGTGGGGCTGATGCCACTGCCACAGCTGGCTGACGTTTTCAGCTCTAGTAATCTTCACTCTGTAGTCAAATGAACAAAGCACTGATTGAAACGTCTGTACATTTTATCACTATCCGTGATGGCATTTGGTCCCAGTTCAGGGGTGTGGTTCTTTCATTAGAGGCCAAGGTGACTAAAGTTAAGCTTTCAGTTATACAATCACTATTGTATAACTAAGAATCTTAGGATTTGAAGGACCCCCACACACACACACATAACTGATATTTCCAGACTTCTGCTGTCTCTAAGTGGCCAGCATGTGTATCCATAGCTCTGTGATGGGGTGATGACAGCAGTGGGAGGGAATCCGCCTTGATGATCTCTGTTATAAGGCTGATTGTCTTTAACTCCGATCCACTTGACTTTTCACATCTCATTTATTCCTTCATATGTATTTTTTTCTGAAAAAGTAAATATAGCATACACGTAGAAAAACACACTAAATTCACATGTATGGTTCAGAATATTATAAATGAGCACCTGTGCATTGCCTCTCAAATCAGGTAATACTGTTGTGGAAGCTCTGCCTCCTTCCCCTAGAGATAGAAACCTACTGTCCTGATTGCTGAGTTAATCTTTTTACTACCCTTGTTCACAAATCTACTACTGATGTATGCGTTTCTGTCAACAACCTTAATTTTGGAAACAGAAGTGTCAATTTAGCAGAGTATAGGAAGGGCAGTTTGCTAGTGCTAGAGGAAGACTCGGGAGACTCAGTTGCAGGATCTGGGTCATAACCTGACATTGAGCTGTCCTCAACAGTATTCCAGAGTCCCAACCCAGGAATCGAGAGCAAGAGCACGAGTGAGCCATGGCAGACAAGACAGGGTTTACCACCTGGGCTGTAGGCGAACCAGCTCCACTAAAACTTCTGGAAACCTTGTCTGGAGAGTGAGCTGCCTGGTTGTGCTCTGCTTTCTCAGCTCCTCTGGGCAGCCTGTGGGGATGAGGTGAGGACCCTCAGCACATAGGTCCTAGAGATAAGCTTCATCAGCATCAGGAAAGACAAGACCAACTTATGAAAGAAAGCATCCAATTGGCGTCTAGGCTAGACTTGCTTCATGGATTTCCTTGTCATGTCCTCTTGCTGTTTGTGTGCTTGTTTTGATGAAGTGCAGCCTAATTCAGCTTCTTCTAACTGCAATTTTATAACTTTATTTGATACTGCAGATAGTTCTCATTCACATTGATTGTCTATAGGGTTTTTTGGGGGGATGCAGGGGGTAGTGGTTTGGTTCTTAATGTTTTTGTTTGTTTGTTTTATTTTGGTTTTTTTGTTTTTGTCTGTAGGATTTTAAATGTGGTAACAAGGATATAGATTACCAAAGTATAGAGCTTGTTTGGTGACTCCACATCCTTATTTTCTGGACAAATGCATGCAGATATAATAGGAACATACATTTGACTCAGACGAATTTATTGAGCCTGCTATTAGTATGCACATCTGGAGTTCCCGCCTCCTTTATGGCAGATTTCAGATTTTTCTGAGTGTCCAGCCTGCACATTTTCTGAAGCCCACACTGTGGGTACCGTTGTGAATGTTGATGTATTCTTAGCTCACCACAGTCTTAGTTACTTTTCTGTTGCTGTAATGAAACACCATGAACAAGGCAACTTATGAAAGAAAGCATACAATTGGCTTACAGTTTCTAAAAATTAGAAATGATGGCAGTATGAAGGAATGGCTAAGAACTCACATCTTGTTCCACAAGTAGAAGACAGATACACACACACACACACACACACACACGCACGCACGCACGCACACGTACACACTCTTAACCCGGCTTTGATACCTTCAAAACCCTTACCCAATGACACACCTCCTGCAACAAGGTCAACACCTCCTAATCTTTCCCAAACAAAACAATTTCACCAACTGGGAACCAAGTGTTCAAACATGTGTACCTATGGAGACCCTTCTCATTCAACCACCACAGCCACCTCAGTAAGGGCAAAATGGCCTTCTTTACCTCCTGCAGAAGACATTAGTCCAGGTCCTCTAATTTAGCTTCTTTGAGAGGGTGAGCTAGGCAGGGTGGTGTATTCTTGTGATCCCAGCACTTGGAAGACTGAAGCAGGAAGATTGCTGTGAGGCCAACCCATTTTATAGTATCTTGACCTTGTCTCAAAATAATAATAATAACAATAATAATAACAACAACAATAACTAATTAGAGGGAAAGCAGTCCTTTTTCCAGACTTTCAAATTTAAAAATGCCTTTTCTATGCTTATATTTGCTAATTTTACATACTCACTCATTATTAGTCTTACTATAGAATTTTTATTTGGAAATGATTTTTAGTGGAAAATTTGTTAATATTAAACTTTTATTATTAGGTAATTATGCATTCACACAATGTTGTAATAATACAGAAAAATCTTGGGAAATAATTTTTCAGCTACTACTGTAGCATCTTAAACTGTTGACTACATATAATCAGGATGTAGATATTTATTGACATAGTGAGGGTACATGTGATTAGCAGGCATTGCCACAGCCAGGAACATGCCCATCACTACAACATCCCCCATGTTTATATAGCCACACAGACTTCTTTACTGCCCCCAGACACCTTTTGACTCAGAAAGTGTGGCAGACACTAATCTGCTTTCTCTTTTTATAATTTTGTTTCAAGATTGTTATTCTGCAGAGTATAACTTTCTGGAATTGGCTTTTTAAATGTTTGTTTATTCCAGTGGAAGGGAGTATTGTATCATTGTGTACATAGTGTACGTATGGACATCAGAGGCCAACTTGCAGAAGTCAGTTCTTACTCGATTATGGGGATCAAACTCTTATCATCAAGCTTGACAACAAATGACTTTAGCCTTTGAGTCATTATACCTGCCAGAGAATTGGCCTTTTTTTCCTGAAGTAATTCTCTGGAGAGTCATTCTGGTCACTCCACGTTTGTTCATTCTTTCTGTTGGTGAGTTGGGTTTCATGGTGACCACTCATCTTAGTAAACAGCTGAGGGACATCGGGTAGTCATTAGTATGGCATAATCATGACTAAAGATTGTAGAAACACGCATGTATTATGTGATGTGTTTTTATTTTACTGCCGTAAGCTCCCAGAGTGAATTTGCTGGGTTGTATGCTTCTTCTTCTTTTTCAAAGCTTAAAAATAAAAGTTTTCATTTGTATTTTTTTTAAATTTTTTTCACATGGTATTTATTGAGCTCTACATTTTTCTCTGCTCCCCTCCCTGCCTCTCCTCTCCTCCCTTCAATCCTCCCCCAAGGTCCCCATGCTCTCAATTTACTCAGGAGATCTTGTCTTTTTTTACTTTCTACTTCCCATGTATAATAGGTCTCTGTAAGTCTCCCGTAGTGTCTAAGGGAGTGGTGTCTAAGTTCTCTGGGATTGTCGTTTGTAGGCTGGCTTTCTTTGCTTTATTTTTAAAAACCACCTATGAGTGAGTACATGGGATAATTGTCTTTCTGTGTCTGGGTTACCTCACTGACGATGATATTTTCTAGCTCCATCCATTTTCCTGCAAAATTCAAGCTGTCATTATTTTTTTCTGCTGTGTAGTACTCCATTGTGTACTTTTTAAAAATCCATTCTTAGATCAAGGGGCATTTAGGTTGTTTCCAGATTCTAGCTATGACAAACAAAGCTGCTATGAACATAGTTGAGTACATGTCCTTGTGGCACGATTGAGCATCCTTTGGATAGATACCCAAAAGTGGTGTTGCTGGGTCTTGAGGAAGGTTGTTTCCTAATTTTCTGAGAAATTGCCACACTGCCTTCCAAAGTTGTTGTACCAGCTTGCATTCCCACCAGCAATGCAGAAGTGTTCCCTTTTCCCCACAACCTCTCCAGCATAAGTTGTCATCCAGGTTTTTGATCTTGGCCATTCTTACAAGTGTTAGATGGAATCTCAGAGTTGTTTTGATTTGTGTTTCTCTGATGACTAAGGGTGTTGAACATTTCCATAAAACATTTTAGATTCCTCTGTTGAAAGTTCTCTGTTTAGGTCTGTACTCCATTTTTTTTTATTGGATTATGTGATCTTTTGGTGTCCAATTTCTTGAGTTCTTTGTATAATTTAGAGCTTAGACCTCTGTCTGATATGGGGTTAGTGAAGATCTTTTCCCATTCTGTAGGCTGTTTTGTCTTGTTGATTGTGTCCTTTGCTTTACAGAAGCCTTTCAGTTTCAGGAGGTCCCATTTTTAATTGTTTCTTCAGTGTCTGTGCTGCTGGGGTTATATTTAGGAAGTAGTTCCCTGTGCCAATGCGTTCAAGTGTACTTCCCACTTTCTCTTCTATAAGGTTCAGTGTGTCTGGCTTTATGTTGAGGTCTTTGATCCATTTGAACTTGAGTTTTGTGCATGGTGATAGATATGGACCGATTTTCATTTTTCTACATGTTGACATCCAGTTATGCCAGCACCACTTGTTAAATATGCTTTCTTTTTTCCATTTGATATTTTTTGCTTCCTTATCAAAGATCATGTGTTCGAAGATGTGTGGATTGATACCTGGGTCTTCTATTCAGTTCCATTGGTCCTCCTGTCTGTTCTTATAACAGTACCAGGCTGTTTTCAGTACTGTAGCTCTGTGGTAGAGTTTGAAGTCAGGGATTGTGATGCCTCCAGAAGTTCCTTTATTGTACTGGATTGTTTTGGCTGTCCTGGGTTTTTTGCTTTTCCAAATGAAGTTGAGTACCGTTCTTTCAAGGTCTTTGAAGAATTTTGCTGGGATTTTGATGGGCATTGTATGTTTTGGTTTCTGTCTTAGTCACTGTGAAGTCTATTGCTGTGAAGAGACATCATGACCAATATAACTGTTATAAAAGAAAATATTTAACTGGGGGCTTGCTTACAGTTTCAAAGGCTTAGTCCATTATTATCATGGCAGAGAACATGGTGGTAGGCAGGTGTGGGGTGGGAGATGTAGCTGAGAGCCACATGCTGATCTGTAAGCGGGGGTAGGGAGGGAGGAAGGGAGACAGAGAGAGTTGGGGGAGGGTAGGATTTTGGTCTAACTCAGAGCAATTGAATTCAAATCTGCCTTTCACAAGATCCCAGGGGATGCATGCAGTCATTGTGGTTGGAGGAGCACTGTGGTTTGTCATCACTTGGTTTGCCTTCACCTTGAGGAATTAGAAAAATGTGCACAATAGGGCATTCTGGCTTCTGAATTTTCAACTTTACTTCTAAACAGTGTTTCTGCCACCCAGTTAGCTGACAAGGTAGAAGCGACAGTTCTGGAGCGGTTGAAGCCCCTCTTGATCAAGGCCCAGGTAACTGATTCATCTCATTTCCTTGCCTTTGGCAGTTCTGAAATAAAAGGAGTTTGTTAATTAGGTCACACTGACCCTTTTTTAGAGGGCCAAGTGTCTTCAGTGATGGGAACCTGCAGTACAGAACAGGGTTTCACTGCTAGGGCCCTTCACAACCTCCAGACCACCACACACGTCCTCTGTGTGGATTGGGGGTGGGAGGCAATGAGAGGGTATAGGCAAGGGGAAGAGAAGCAAGCACTGTTTTTGAGAAGGGTGACATTTTTACTTGGGGAAGGAGTTTAGAGTGAATTTTCCATTCTTTTCTAGTCAATCTATTGATAATGATGGTGTTTACTTAATCATCCCCTGGATGCTGGTCTCTGTGACCTTGGTAACTTAGAATGATTGGCTATTTTACAGTAGGAGAGGGGGATTTGGTACACTTCTCTGTACAAGCTAGAAGTTTCTCAAAGATGAAGCGACTTCCAGCATACCACGATTTCATGTCACCCTCTGTAAGCAGTGGGGATTCAGTAGTGACACCTTGATGGACCTACCCTGGAAATAGAAGCCGTGCTGTTTTCAGGCTTCCAGATGAGGTCATGTAAGAATATTACGATCGTAGTTGGTTGAATGGCATTCTGAGTGTAGGAAGTTGTAGGATTATTGACCTCAGAGGGCTCCTAGAGATGGAGTTGTGCAGTGCCCTCATCTGACTCCTGAAAGAAAATACAGCACAGGCAGGTTGAATGACTTGCAAAGCAGCACACAGCTACTCTGGCAGTGTCTACAAAGTTGAGTGATTACAAACTGCCTGGAGCACCAAGGACAACACATGGCATTTGTTTTCCCCGAGGACCAAGTGCTCTAATTGCTGCCAAAAGCATATTATAGCTGAATAGTTCCACATAGGTTATTCTGCAACATGACTTATTCCGAGTTGTACATTGTTATAATCTGTGAATGCATTTGTCCATTTTAATAGAGAGTTAATTCTTCTGTGGAAGCAAATAGTCATTTGAAGGATCGTCTGTCACCAAGCGCAGCAGCAGCATCCCAGCCTGCCGAACAGGTGTGTGGTGTTCGGATTCTGGTCTTATTACATGCTAATGTCTCCAGTCAAAGGAAAATGATATGCAGATTACTTTGCAAACACTACATTATCCTACTCAAGGAGAGTGAAAATTCTTTTTCATATGTGACATGTTCATTCTTAGAGTGTATATTTAGTTCTGTGTCTGAAGGGACCTTGCACACAGCTCACCGACATCTCTAGAGCCACAGGTTTTTGGTGGTGCACTTTTATCTCTCCCCTTAATGACAGAGTGTAGATAAACTGTGGCCCTGAATGTTGATGGCCTAAGGCAGAAGACTAGCTCCTTCATTTCTTTCTCATCCAGCCTACTTTGGCTCATTACTGGCCTAATTTCCTTTCTTTTTAAGGCTTAATGTTTTTGTTAAGCAAGCAAGTTTTGAGTACCCAGTACATGACCATGGTCCAACAGAAAAGAAAGAAGGTCCAAGGAAGAAATGAAAGCATTTGAGGAAGATAAAAACCTCTTTTGTTGTTGTTCAGGCTAATCTTCCTCTGGAGGATTTGCTTTTAATGTTTAGGGGACTGTCCCTGTCTGCCTGACCTTAGGGACTTTAGAGTAGAAGGTGCAAGTTGCATTCCTTTAGTCCTCTAAACGTTGAGAAAAGGTACTTGCTCTTCCAGTCGCTCCAGACAGGTAGCAGGCAGAGAGTATAAAGGAGTTAGGAGGAAGCAGGAGTGGCATTGCAGGAGCCCAGTGGCCTTGGGAGCAAGAAGACTGTAGGTCAAGACTGTTCAGCCAACTATTGAGCAGGGTTTTAGCTGTATTTCATTGTTGCCATTTTTTATGTTATTATTTTGTGTTGGAGTCCCATGTGAGGTCAAGCTACTAGGATAGGAACTAAGCCATCGTTGTTCATTATAGTCTCAGATGTGTCGATGGCTTGGTGGATTTTGTGTCTCACGGCCACTAAAAGCCCCTTTCAGACTCCCATTGAAGTAGTGGGCTAACACCTAACCTAGGAAAGCAGCTCTATAAAGCATTTCAATATGAAAGGAAAATGAAATGGATTACTAACAGTAAAGCAGACATGTATAAATATTATGAGTAAAACAGGCTTTTATGTGCAAATTAAATTATCTTTCATATAATTGTTTGAAAGATAAAATCCAGCTCTTGTTTAGAATTCTGGGATGTTGGAAACATTCTCATTGCAAGGAGTTTTTCAGGCTATACATCAATAACCAGTGTTAAAAATAATCAGACAGCTAATGACTGCTGAGAGAGGGAGAATTAGTCTTTCCCAGGAATGAGCACCCTAACTGATAATCTGTTGAAGACCAGCTTCGACAAAACTCATTCCAGGGTAGGAGCGTGAGGATTAGAATTATTAAGCAAGAGGAACAGAGAGATATGAGAAATAAGAGACAGAAACACAGTACAGCCTTGGGAGGGCCAGTCAGTAAATGTTGAATCTGCATTGTTTATTTTTACATGATTACATATTTCACTCCAAAGGGGGAGGAAGGAGGCAACAGACTTTACTGACATGATCTAAGGAATAGACTTGAATTCTCTGATCTTTGGTCCAGGTGGAGCAGATCCACCTCTAACCCAGAATACTAAGTAACCACACTCTAGGTCAGCATCTCTTGTCTACACCTGCAGACAGCAACCTTGAGAGAGCAAAAATAAGTTCTAACTCTCTCTGACCTCCAGTCAAGATGGAACAGGCTCACAACTCTGTGGGTCCTCACAATACAGAATGGTCAGCCCTGAAGTCAAATTCACACAAGCAACACTAAGAGTCTTCAGCAGGTTGTGTTTATATAGGTGTATGTGTGTAACAATAATAAAGAAATGAAGGCTAGCACTTTGAGAGAGAGTAAGAGGGGAGTGTGGGAGGGATTGGATGGAGAAAAGGGAAGGGGCAAGTTATGTAATTATATTTTAATGAAAACATTTTTTAAAAATTAAGAGTTTGAGGCCAGCCTGGTCTACAGAGTGAGTTCAGATAGCCAGGACTGTACAGAGAAACCCTGTCTTGAAAAACAAAGAAGAGAAAGAAGACAAGCCCAGAGAGGCTGAGTAAACTTATCCAGAGTTGAAGGGCAGAACCAATCTTTACTCCCAGGAATGTCTCATTCTTTACCCAGAAGATAGTAGTTTTTTCTAAAATGCAGATCAGATTATAGATCTATATTAGGATCAAGAAAAATAGTTGGGTGTGGTGAGAGAAGCCTTTAATCCCAGCACTTGGTGGGGAGAGGCAGGAGGATCTCTGTGAATTTGAGGCTGGCTTGGCTCTATAAAGTGAGTTCCAGGACAGCCAGGGCTATGTAGAGACCCTGTCTCAAAAGAAGAGAGAGAGAGTGTGCATTGGAGAAATGCTTTGCACACTGTAAAGTACTTTGTTCATTTAAAGCACACAAAGTCAGGAGAGAATGTTCTCTACCACCTAGAATGTGTGATGTATAAAATAGGGTACATTTCCCTAAACGTGGCCGAAGAGCTACGTGCTCTCCCAGTCAGCAAGGCAGGTGAAATGGTTGGTTGTCAATAAGGCACTGCTTGGTCATGCAGTCACTTAAGCGGCTGAGAAGAATTGTGTTGGCTTGTGCTTCTGTTACGTGCTGACAGAGAAGTTGTTTTGGCATAGGATCTCTGCCATTTGGATCACTGTGCTTTGGAGTTCTAATGACTAACAATAATCTTTAATTTTTTGGTCCTCTTTTATTACCTTTTCACCCTTTCTACCTTCATTTTGTAGGCTTCAGGTGTCAGTTATGCGTCCAGAAATGTTCACCAGCTGGACGACTGTTTGGAAGATGCTGCTCATGAGCTGAGGGCCATGACTCAGGATAAGACCTTGGGGTTAGAAACCTCAGCCACATTGGGGAACAGAAAGGACAGCCCCGATCTAGAGACCATGATGCTCCGGATGGAGGAAATGGAAGTAAGGTCTGGGCCTGCTGGTCTGTTTTGCCAGTGGGGGTTTCACCTCTGCTCCTGATGGTGCTGCTGACACTCAGTATAACAGAGCCACAGGGTCCTACTTTTAAATCCAAGCTCTCTTCGCCAACTAAGTGTACCTTGGTTCAGTCACTTACCCTGTCTAATAAGTAGGTTTTTTGAGAGTAGAAGAAGATATAAAGTATTTATCAAACATAACCCAATAAGTGGTCCATACTGTTACCACTCTATTAATAGAGACTTGTAATTCCAAAAACATAGATTCCAGGACTTGCTCCCACAGTTTGGGCCATTGATTTTTGCATCCATAATTTATAGACACCATTCAGTTGTCTCTTCTACCTTGCTGTAGTGACCCTGTCAAACACAGATGTCCTTACCCTCTTTAATTTCCAGACTAGTACTTTTAGAATGACTCCCTTTTCTTACAAACTTTTAGACCTCAGATAGGAACCATCCCACTGGATTATTCAGGACAGGAAACCAAAGTGCAGTGATGAAATGGTGTGGTCAAGGTCATAAATGCTGAGAGAGCTGGGGTACCCTGTTTGGGTCTGACCCCACACTCAGCATTTTTGCCTTAGTTACATCATGATTAACTCAGTTCTTCCTCATTACTAAATAGGAAATTATAAAGAAGATAATTTTTGGTGGTTTTTGAAAATTTAAAGACATACTGTTTGTCCTATTCTTAAATCGCTTCCCCTCTCTTGGAGTAACTGTCTAGACCTGAGCTATCCTCAGCAGTAGAAAGAGCCAGCATACGTCTGCTGCAACACAAAACTAATGAAGAGGAAAACACAAGTAGTCCATAGAAGGACAGGGGACATGTGTGTGCCATCACACAGGCTCTAGGGACAAGCTAGCCAGGTGCAGTCGTGTTAGTCACACTGTTCCTCCTAGGCTTCCTCGTGAGCTGCTCACTTCCTGGCCCAGTAGACACCTGTTCTCATCAGTGTCCGTCTGCTGAGCTGTTCCCACACTTACTACTTCTGGTTTATAATGAAACTTACTTTTTCTCATAAATTAAACTTTCTTTTTTAAAGAAATACCAGGAGACAGTTCGCCAAAGATATAATAAAATTGTTTACGCTGACCCTCACTTATGGATGCACGAAGAGAGAAATGGTAGGTGTTTTTCCCCAACCCTCAATATTTTACTCTGAAAAATTTCAAACATACTGAAAGGTTGAGAAAAACTGCCAATAATGACCAGAATCCTGACCTTGTAACTGTAAGGTTACCATGCCACTGTTTAGCCTCTGCACCCAGTTCATCCCAGTTTTGCATTTCAGATGTAATTCAAGGTAAACTGTAAAGTATTTCAAAGGAAACCACCGGATAACCATGCGTTTGACTCTACATATGCGGCATCAGCTTGAGGTTCTTACTTATTTATGGTTTTGTTTTGCTTTTCTGAGGTCAGATTTATTTAAGGAACAGGGAGATGGCTTAGTGAGAGACTGAACAGGAGAATTGACAGGAACTCCCAGGGCCAGTTAGCCTGGCATAGGCAACAAGAGAGACCCTGGTGGGCTGGAGAGATGGCTCAGAGGTTAAGAGCATTGCCTGTTCTTCCAAAGGTCCTGAGTTCAATTCCCAGCAGCCACATGGTGGCTCACAACCATCTGTAACTCCAATTACAGGATATCTAGTGTCCTTCTCTTGTCTCCATAGGCACCAGGCATATACGTATAGTACACAGATATACATGCGGGCAAAACATCCATACACATACAATTAATTAACTAATAAAAAAATTCGACAGCAACAACAAAAAGCTTCCTTATGGTCCTACAGTGGAAAACTGGCTAGATGAGCACCTCTGGTCCGAGTGCACTTACTGCTGTGGCTGCCATTCAAGTAGTACTATCCAGAGGCTTCTGCAGCAAGCCTGGGTATTATCACATCACCTTAGAAAAGGAAATCTGGCAGTTTACTAGTGTTGTAGTTTCCTTTCTCTTGCTGTGGAAAAATCATCAAATTGGGAGGAAAGGGTTTTTGTTATTGTTTTGTGTGTGTGTGCAGTAGTTCAAGGTAGGAAAGTGAAGGCAGGAACTGAAGCAGAGACCATGTTGGAATCCTTTTTACTGACTTGCTCCTCATGAACTCCTCAGCCTACTTCATTATACAACCTGTATGCCTACAGTGGTACTGCGTACAGCAAATTGGCTTTTCATATCACTCATTAATCAAGAAAATGCCCCACAGACTTGCCTCCAAGCCAGTCTGGTGTAGGTACTTTCTCATTTGAAGTTCCCCCTTTGTGAGGATTAAAACACTAATCAGCCCTGCCAGTAACCAACAGGTCATGGATTGCGATCAAGTATTTATTTCTTCCCAGATAAACTTGTAATGAGGTCACTGGGAAGTCAGGAGTGAGTCTACTTGGAGGTTCTTCTCAGCCTCATGCCTGATGGTATTTGAAATTGTGTGGTTCATTGTGGTTAGACTAAGGTTCAAAAGGTTATTTTAGCCAAGAACATTTTACAATTTACCCGTAAACAAAAATGGACTTTTAAAAGGTGAGATTTATTAAGGAAAAAGATAATAACTTTCATACATATAAATGTGGAAAATGGAAAAGCCAAGGATTCCAGACCCACCCTTGCCCAGTTTTAGTTCAGTATTATCTCTATGCTTCCCACGTTTCCCTCGGAGTGCTTTCTGTTAGCTTGTAGAACGAATGCAAAGAGGCACATGGAATTTCCTGGGGGTCAGAGGTTGAAACTAGAGTGCCCTTAATATTTGTTTGTCTTTGTAATACGTGTGCGCTTCTTTCAGGGACTCCACGTGTTTGAAAGAAATCAACCAAACCAACCTTACAGCAAAAGCAGGTTGCAGCAGACAACAGTGTCATCCAGATTAAAAATGAACCGACAGCCTGTGAAAGACCGCAGGGCTCCTTGGATACCTCCGAACCCCACGTCTCCACCAGCCTCTCCGAAATGGTATGCAAGAATTCAAGGACCGAGTTTCCATGGCTTTATTTTTCTTCCACAGATGACACACATTTAAAACAAATAATAATAGGCTTCATTCTTCCCCTTGGGCAAAAATGCTTATTTGGGTGAGTAATACATGAGTTTTTTGTCTGGAAGCCTGTTGGTTCCTTTTTTACCTGTCCATGGAGTACCTCGATGCCCAGTGGGTATGTGTCATTGTAGGAAAGATTGTGACTGTTGTCTGTTCCGTGAATAGATTGTGCTCACCTGAGACTGGGCATTGTATCTCTCTTATGTCTTAATATCCAATGCCTACACATAATAGGCACTCACTTAATCTCGGCTGAGTGAATATTTTTAAATAATTTAATTCCAAGTCAAGATAGCTGTGAACTCTGAGCTCATCCATATTCCCTGACTCTGCTAACATTACTGTCTTGTTACCTACACTCATCAGGACAACAGTGTGGATCTACTCTCCACAGGGGTAGAGAGGAGGTACTGTTCTCAGGGAGAGCAGGGTCCAGTTTGAAGTAGGCTCACGAGAGCATGGTGGCTAAAGATAAAGGGGAGCTTGTTTGTGGATTTGGGAATCCTTGATGGCACAGTGGAAAAAGCTAGAAGGTCTAGCAGTGCTAAAGGGGAAGCAAACAGCAGGGACTCCTTATGTGCATGCCTGGTGTGACTCCATGGTAATGTGCACCCCTTAGCCTTGAGAAAAAGGAAGAGGACCAGAAGCTTCTGTTCCACTCGTCACAGACTGGGCCTTCTGACCTGACTGTGTAGGGCTTTTTGTTGTTGGTTTTGTTTAACAGCCCTGGCTGTCCTGGAACTTGCTCTGTAGACCAGGCTAGCCTGAACTCAAAGAAATCCGCGTGCCTCTGCCTCCTGAGTACTGGAATTAAAGGTGTGTGCTGCCATCGCCTGACTGATTGTGTGTTTTTGTTTGTTGTTGTTTGCTTTCATGAGTTTGTTCTGATTTCTTTGTTTTATACAAGTCAATACAGGTTGAAGTCTGCACCGCTAAACAAGTACACAATATACTAGCTTCTATACCAACAGTTCTCAACCTATGGGTCTCTACCCCTTTGGGGGTCAAATAACCCTTTCTACAGGAGTTACATATCAGTTATTCTGAATACCAGATATTTACATTGTAATATTTAACAGTAGCAATGGAAATGATTTTAGGGTTGGGGTCACCACAGCACGAAGAACTGTATTAAAGTGTTGCAGCTTTAGGAAGTTTGGGAACCACTGCTCTAGACAGTATGATGGTGGGGGAGACATGGGGCAGATAAGACTTCCTAGATCACAGTGCTGTGTGAAACCTAACACAGACATTTAGAGGACTTGGGATATTATTAGGGACTCATGTATTTAAAGCATGTTTTGTTGAAGTACATTCTTTATTCTATGACAGTTTTTTTAAATTAAAATAATGACTGCTTCTTTGAGGCAAAAGGATCTTCTCCCTTTGACACTGGGCATGAGAGCTAGAGGACCTTTCCCTGCCACATTCGTTCTGCCATCAGGCGCCAGGCACTGAGCTGTAGATCAGCATTGCCATGGTGCTCTTAGGATGAGTCACAAGTGGACGAATGATTGCCAACGACATGCTTTCCATTTGGTGCAGTGCTGCATGGCTAAAGGTGAAGTCCAGTCCCAGAGATGCTGCAAAGGAACAATCTCTCCAGCAAGAGGATGCCCCCGAGGAAAGTCAGCTGGGAGGTGCTGCCGAGCAAGAAGCAACCAGGTTTGTAATGATATATATATATGACTCTGAAGCAAAGCCCTTGTCTTTTCTGTATCTCAAGGTGATTATTTAAAACAGATTGCTAAACTTTTCTATTACGCTCTCCAGCTTACCCCAGGCCCACCACTCTTTTATTCTTTATTTCATTCATTCGAAACTTCTATGTGTGTCATTTGCCAATTTGTAAATGGCACAGTTGTGCACTATGTGCACGTTTTAAAAAAAGAGAAAATAAGTCAGTGGAAAATACATGTAATTAGCTGTGATTTAAGACAGAACATGGTATGCACCCTAAGATCTGGGCAAGTTCAGTATGTGGAGTGTTTACCTTTTGCTATAGAGAATGAAGTTTCATGCAGGGAGGTAGGAACTAAACCAGGACTTGCACGGGCAGGAATAAATGTGAGGGGTTTAATGAGAATGTTCCAAGGGAAGACAGCAGGGAAAACAGCTTGCTCTGCATTTGTTTGGCTGAAATTACCCTGGCACTTATGGGAAAGCAAAAATGGAAATGGGTATTAGGGCTGGGGGGTAGCTCGGGAGTACAGCACGGCTCCAGTGTGTGTGAAGTGCACTGTGCTCCAGTATCACTCTGAAAAACAGAATGGGCCATTTGATAATTTGGTGATAATCACATAGCTAAAGCAGAAGAATCAAAGCTCTTTCACATTCACATGCAATAAAATTGTTTAGAGTTAACTTTCCCCTTTTGTTTTTATTTGATTTTATTATACCTTCACTGAGGTCTGTTTGTAAACTGTGTTGAGAGCAGTGATGGTTGGCTTTCTTGTCGGCAGCTTCTTGTGTATGTGCCAATTGGGTATGACTGTCCTTTTGTAGGAATATACTGTGGATGCTTTCATGGGTATATGGAGGATACATTACTATTTGAATCCTTTCATAGAGCCAGGAATGGTGCTGGGCTGCGGGAGGGCGCTCATTTCTGCTCTGTTTCTGTGGTAGTGATACCCTGTGGCATTGAGGCATGGTTACCTTAACTCTTCTGTTAGGCTTCCTTGGCCAGATGCTGAGTCTTCCAAAAGATTGAAGGAACTAGAAGACTTGGAAGCCAAAGAAGTAGAAAGGATGCAAAAACAGAGGTAAATATTTGTTTCTGAGGTAAACAAGAAGGCATCTTGTTCTGCATCTCACTCCTTTGACAGTGAGTCAGGATTGGTGACATCAGCCACACTTCTGCTTCCTGGCTTGCTGCCTCCTGAAGACTGGAAAGCTACCTGTGAAGCCTGAGGGAGCGCCAAAGAGAGAAGCCCAGGAAGCCCTGACTCTACTTTAAAGAGAGTTATCGTGCCTTTACCTCCCTCTAGGCTTGAGTGGCTCGAGGCTGAGACTTCTCGAAGAACCAAAGAGCTGGATGAACTGAAAGCTGAAGAAATGGATAGACTTCAAAAATTAAGGTATAGTTTGCCACTGGGGAGTGAGAGGGTATGTGTTTCTAGCTGATTGAGCCTTATAGTTTGAACAGCCATCCTGGACTTTCTTGACCTCACCTCATTCAAGATGAGTAACTGAATGAAGACTGGCAGAGGGTGAGTGGGTGTGCAGGTGAGTGTGAACGATGAGTGTGTAGATGCTTTGTTTCTCATGTTAGCCTGAATGTGGTCTCAGGTTTTCAGGGGAGGTTGCTCCCCCTCATTCATCCCCTCAGAGTGCTGCCACCTAACAGGCAATGAAGAAATATGTTTACCACGTAGTGGGGCTGATGCCACTGCCACAGCTGGCTGACGTTTTCAGCTCTAGTAATCTTCACTCTGTAGTCAAATGAACAAAGCACTGATTGAAACGTCTGTACATTTTATCACTATCCGTGATGGCATTTGGTCCCAGTTCAGGGGTGTGGTTCTTTCATTAGAGGCCAAGGTGACTAAAGTTAAGCTTTCAGTTATACAATCACTATTGTATAACTAAGAATCTTAGGATTTGAAGGACCCCCANTGTGTGTATGCCTGCAGGCCAGAAGAGGGCACCAGACCCCATTACAGATGGTTGTGAGCCACCATGTGGTTGCTGGGAAATGAACTCAGGACCTTCGGAAGAGCAGGCAATGCTCTTAACCTCTGAGCCATCTCTCCAGCCCCAAGCACACTACTCTTAGCAATAAAGAAAACACACTACTCTTGCAAAGGACTGAAGTTTGATTCCCAGCACTCACATCAGGCAGCTCTCAACTGCTTGTAAATGTAGCTTCAGGGCCCCCAGTGCCCTCTTCTGGTATCTAGGCACCCACACTCCTGTGCATATACCCACACACAAACACACATAACTAAATAGTTTTTTTAAAAAGAGAGGAGCTTTTTAAAACACTAAGAACTGAAGTGAGTGTTGGACACTTGTAATTCCAGCATCATGAGAGCACTATAGGATCCAGAAAACATGCTTAGAACCAAATTTAAAGTGATATTAGGGTTATGTGATGTCTAATCCTTTCCTTGCAACTCTGTGAATAACTGAAAATTGCTTTTACTCAGTAGTGGTAACATTTTTACAGAAGCTGATCTTGGCGGTGTTTGTTCCTGACAGTGAGTGATCATGAGCATGTATATGCATCAGAGAAAGTGTCGGTGCTGGAGCAACTTTACCTGAAGGATGGGTTTCTTTCTTCCACATTTAAAACTAGAAATCATCTGAAACTCAGGAGAGCTCTCAGGGCTGCAAGTTGTAGTTAATAAATTAGTGTCTTGACTCTCATGCAGATTTTTTTGCAACAATGTTCAGAGACAAGTTATATCTGCTAATTAAGTGTTCAGGTCTTTTGAATGGCTTTCTCCTTCAGTAATCAAAGCGTTTAAAGGTTAAGAAACAAACTTCATGACTTCAGACTCCTTGACTGGCAGCTGGGTCCCAGTAAAATGGTGTCTCCTGAGGCCTTTCACAGAATGGACAAGGACTCTGATGTGGCGCTGGGGAGCAGTGCTGCTTTCTGAAGACTGACTGCAGTGTTTTCTTTCTCTAGAACTTAAAAATCCACCCTTGTGTTTGAAGCCCCTCTGCACCAACCCTGGCCTGTGTCTTAGTGTGTGAGAAAGATGGCTATGATATCCTCAGAGTTCGTTAGCTACTAACACACATTTTTGACATTAGTCATTTTGTACCTGTCCTTTCTAGGCCAGAACAACCCAACAGTAAGTGAAAGACCTTTGGCTCCCCATCCAATCAAGATCACTAAGACAGCAACTCCCAAGGACCCAGCCGTGAACATCGTGTTAGAGAGGCCCTGCAATGCCAAGTAAGTGACAGTGACACTATGGCTTTTCTAGTTGGTGGCATTGGGTGTGGTTCGCATGTGACAAAAGTTGTTTGGAGCAAGTTGTTGCAAACTCTGATGGATCAGTAAGACGGTGGTTCTGTGGTTGGCATTGAACGCTAACATTGTTAGGAAGCCTCCAGCACTTGGCAGTTTAGCTGGCTTTCACTCTGGCACATATGATTGTACTGACACTCAGTGTGAGCTTTATTTCATGTACAGAGCAGGAATGCCTGCAGTGTTGAGGACTAGTGTGGTAGAAAGAAGTGGGAAGCGATGGCACGATGCTGGATTTTGTTCAGTGTGAGGAGGGCAGGCCATCGTGGTGTAGGAACAGCTCGCTCTTGCTTACATGTGAATGCTTTCATCCCTCTCACGTGTTCTCAGCTCACTGGATGAAAGTGTGGGGACAGAGGAGGAATCAGAGAGAAGGGAGGCCCGCTTTCCCTCCGCTGGAGAAGATCTACAACAGAAGGAAGGCCGGACTCCCCTCTTTGTTCCACCACGGATGCGGCATAGCATTGGTGATTACTGTAGCCGATTTGAGCAATTCCTACGAATTATATCTCATGAGGCTATAGGCTCCTTCAACCCATGGCTAATAGCTGAAAGGTTAGTAAAATTTCTGTCTCTGCTTACAGGCCAAGGACCAAATTTTAGACTTGAAGAGGATCTGGAGAAAGGACTAGCTGAGGTCTTAATCTTTGCTTTGGGGTTGTAGTGGCCTCTCATGGGTGGCGTGCAGCCTCCTGTGTGAACTGCTCTTCTTCAGATGCGCCCTGCAGTCTCCTCTCGGGCAGACTATCAGTCTGAGACCAGGGTGCCATAAAATGTTGTAGGCTGACTTGAAACAACAAGAATGTCTTTTCACAGTCTGGAGGCTGGGAGTTATCTAAGATTAAAGTATCTGATGGGTGTCTCTTTCCTGGCTGGCTGACAGCTGCCTCCTTCTTACTCTGTCCTCTAGTGACAGACGTCCTCTATCTCTTCCTCTTGGGGCACTATTCCCATCATGAGGACGCTACCCTTGTGACCTCATATGGACATCATTACCTTCCAGGCTGAGGCTATCATACTGAGAGTTAGGGCATCAATGTATGAATACAAATACTCAAGTTAGGGCTGATTTCTTGATGCCATTGTTGAGGATTGAACTCCATAAGAGAGTACAAGTATTGCTGGGCAAGAAATGGCCATTATCGAATGCTCCTGTCTGAGACACGTGGGCCTTGATGAGCAGCTAGCTTCTGACTGCACTATTCTTCCTTTGCCTCTCTCCTCGGTCTCCAGGTACCTCCTCCAAGTACTGCTGTATAACAAAATGCAAGGCATTTTTTTTTTATCATTGAGCAAAATAGTAGATTACCTGTATTTTCTTACATTTTAATCATTTTATTTTCATTCATGAGCTTTTGACATCATATACTGCTTCTCCTTAGGTAGTTAGAGCCCATGTGCTGCCCTGGGCAAGGTGTGTGCTAAGGAAAGAGACTTAGGGCTTCAGGGAACCTGGATTCCAACATAGCACATCCAGAAATATGGAAAAGCCATTCAAAAAGAATTGCCTTTGAGTACAGGAAGCAGCCAGTCCAGATTGGTAGTGGAAGACAGGTCAGGAAGGATGTTACTCTGAGGCAGAGTGAAGAGAGTTGGAAGGAAATCCCATGTCATATGTGACCTGCTGTGCTGTGAATGAGAAGTGCCCTGTGTTCCCTCATGGTTTAGTGGAGAAGCAGGATAGGAATATAGAGACAGAAACAGATACAAAGACTGGTCACTTCCAGAAATACCATATTTCTGCTTCCAGAAATGACACGCCTGGTGATTGAACCACTTCTCCCCTGAGGATAACTGTTAATAGAAAAGCTGGATTAAAAATAAAATGTATACTCTTGAAAGCATCTAGATACCAACTAGGTAATGAAGAATAACTAGGTCAGGACCATGGAGAAGACAGGCGCTCAGTCCACATATGGTGCTGGATGGTTCATTGTGGAGGGCAGCACGTCCACAGCCTCCTCAGGTCAGAAGACAGAGGTGGAACCCAGTGGTGCCAAGCTACTGCCTTAGTAAAGTTTCTCTACTTCGTTGTTTGTGGTGCTGGTTTTGAACACAGGACCTTATAGATTCTAGGCCAACCCTCTTCTGCTGAGCTACATCCCCAGACCTTGTATTACTTGGGATTGAGACCTTGGAAGGTTGCATTCTCTGTAAGTTCAGGTGACCTGGATATATAGGTCTTCTTCCGGACTTTACTCACAGCCACATCTCCCCAGTTGCTGAAGTGATTCCAGATACTTTTGCTCCTGAGGCTCCAGATATAAACAAACATAAGTTTTTCTTTGAAAAAAATCATATCTTTATGGGAGACTTAATTTATTCTATAGTTTTCAAAAACAGTGTCTAGCTTATAGTGGAAATAGCCAGGCAAGAGAGAGACAATAACAGCAGCTCATCCACAACAGCTCCAAATAGCAAAGCTGTTGACAGACTCAAATAATTGCCTGTGTGGTCATGGACATAAAAGACACAACTTAGAATCTTGCCAGAGGATTGGGAGCTAGTCAAAATCCGAACATACATCCAAGGATAAAAAGGAGACTTTCTGAAATGAGGAATGTACTGGATAGGCTCGATAGCAAATTAGATACAGAAGAGAAACTTGGAGGCTTGGAATGTGGAAATACATATTTATCTCCAGAGCGGTATAGAAAGGCAGCATTAAAGGTGAAAGGTAAAGACAGGAGGGTTGGAACACAGAAGAGCAAGCAGTGTGGTCTGATATATGTAAGGGTCTGGTCTGAGAAGGCGAGGAGACTAAGACAGTGGGTCTGAGACAATATCCAGAGAGAGATAATGGCTGTCACCCCCAAGGTGACAAGGAACAAGTCATGAAGACACAGGAAAACAAACCCCAGGTAAGTCTGAAAATATCTCTATCTAATTTCCTCATTAATTATAGAGGAAAATGGTGGATTATAAGGAAGAAGCCTGAAGACATCACAACTGAGTGGTAAAATCAGCAGTCGTCAGGAAAGGGGCAAGCACTAGGGGACACAGTAGCCCTCTTTTGGCATCTGTTCCAGAAATATGTAGCTGACCGTAATTGTAAGGGAATACTAGACAACCCCAGAGACAAGGACAGTAGAAGATTAAAAAAAAAAAAAAAAACTTCTCAAGAAATGTCATGGTCACCGGGCAGTGGTGGCACACGCCTTTAATCCCAGCACTCGGGAGGCAGAGGCAGGCAGGTCTCTATGAGTTGGAAGCCAACCTGGTCTACAGAGTGAGTTCCAGGACAGGCTCCAAAGCTACTGGGAAACCCTGTCTCAAACCACCCCCCCCCACACCAAAAAGAAAAGAAAAACAAGAAAGAAAAAAATGTTTTAAGGTTGTGGATGGGAGACTGAGGAACTTATTTTAAATGAGAGAATGAAACTGGTCTAAAGAGACATGACAACTAAATAGTGTGGATTGGATCCTGAACTCTGAAAAGTTTTAATGGCATTATTTGGAAGGTCAGTAAGGATTGAATAAAGTCTGTAGGTAAGATTAGATAATGGTTTATAGTGATGTTATGGCAACTGTCTGCACAGTGTCTTTTCTAGGACACACTGAAGTTGTTGAGGGATCCCAGGTTTGCAGCATACTCTCCAGCAGTTTAAATGAAAAGGCCTGTGTGTTGTGTGTGCACGCACATGTTTATTTAGAGACAGCTGGGATTCAGAGGACCTTGCCCTTTCCCACAGAGAAAGCATGCACCTTCCCTGAGCTAGGGTTGGACTCTGGCCAGGTCCTTCATTTCCAGTCACCTCTAATGTCAGCCGTCTCAAGGGTGAGGTCCGTTTGTCTGTTTTAGTACTTTTGCAGGGCTTGGGGAACTAGATGCTACCATGTTACCTGGGAGAGCCAGGTCCCTTGCTTTCTTTTTTTTCTCCAGAAGTATCTTCACTCTTCTAGGTTTTTGGATCTCCACACAATTTTCAAGTTGATTTACTAGGTTTTCATGAATACTGAACAGCTCTGTTTGACTGCCCACGCCTTCAGCTGTGTCCTTTGTTTTCCAGCTTTTCAGACGAGCTGGTAGATGAAGCCCTGGGGGCCGTGGCTGCTGAACTGCAGGATGTGTGTGAAGACTATGCAGAAGCCGTGTTCACCTCAGAGTTCCTGGAGGCTGCTGCATGAAAGCTGTCCAGGCAGGGTCCTCATAGCTCTGCAGCACCCTGTGTCAGCCCATGGGGAGCCTTTGTCCTCAGCCTCCCACTGAAGGGAAATGCCAGTGAGGTCATCCTCACTCCGCATTCTCTCCTCTCTCCGTGCTGTAAAGTGGTTCTGGAAGTTACAACAGGGTGGGTTATGTTTCTCAGTGCTCGAGGAACATGAAAGGATTATAATGCTACAATATTTTCAGAATGTATAATTTTCCTACTGAAATGGTGTGTTCATTCCTCTGACTCAGTTTGGAGATCAAAATGTTTTGAAAGGTAATGGATAACGACATTTCACATAGGAATCCCAGCCTCTGTTGAACCACAGGGGAGGGCTGATCAGTGCTAACCCAGTGCAGTCACTCTGTTCCCGGCACCTGGATCCTGTGGTAAATGTGTTCCTCACATTGTCACTGGTGCTGCCTGTGAGGACACCTGTCCCTTCTGCATGACAACCAACGTGGAATGCAGAGTCACCAAGCCTCTGCTGAGCAGCAGTAGGAGTGGACAGCCCGGCACACAGACCAAACACTTTCTCCACGGCTCACTCCCTAGGGAGTTTTTCATGTTTTCAGTTCCTTGGAGTTGTTTATAGCTGTTTTGACACATGCTGATATGAAGAGCATTTCTCTGACTGCAGAAGTTTGAGGACAGGAGAGAGCAGGCCTTCCCCATGCCAGCTCACTTTTCCTGAGGGCAGAAGGTCCTCTCCATACCACAGAGCATAGGGAGCCAGGTGGTGACTGGAAGACTTGGACTTTCCAGGGGACCAAAGATGCCCTTGTGGCCTTTTGAAGGCTCATACGTCCTTGTGCTAAGGTTTTCAGAAACTCTAAATTGAGAAAAAGAAAAGGAATGTGTGTAAAAATAAGGCCACTGCCTGAAAAAAAAAGTTTTCCTGGGTCAGTTATTTGCATGAGGTTTGGTAAAGAAATAGAAGAGAAAAGGAGAGACACACTCGAGGATTCGTGTGAATATGGGTACTGCGGATGCCCACGTAGCCTCCTGGGATTGTTTCCAAAGTACCAGAAGTTCAGGTGATGATTTAAGCTGCTTTGTCACACTTATTTGTGCAAAATTGATTTTTGTTTAATATTTTCTCGCTTAATGTTATATAACCTCAGAATGTAAAGAGCATCGAGGGAATCGTAGTCTTCAGTCTGGAGAGTAAACATGCACTTGAGCCACGAGAAGCACTTGTCGTTGGTGGTGTAAAGTCATTTGTGTGACTGTTTTTACTGTGCTTATTTAAAAAATAAACTTAGTATTTTAAATTGTGATCATGTCTATTTGAAATAATTTACATCTTCTTTTCCCACAGGCAATGTGAAATGGGATTTACAGAAACCCCTGAGAATACTTTTGTATTTGATGTTAACATAGTAGACTATTTGCCACCTCAGAGAAAAATAAATGCTAATAAAACCTAACATTTATTGAGCACATGCTGGAGTGTTGCTCTGATGGTGTTCCCTGCACTAACTTAATGCTGTGTACTCTGTGTGAGATAGATGCCGTCACACCCCACTAACAGATGAGAGCAGGAAGGAGGGCTAGGGCCATCTAGCCTGTGTTCCTCAGCTACACTGTGGTCATGGAGTCACTCACTTCTATGAAGATTACTGTGTCACTGTGTGAGTGCTCCTGCCTCTCCTTGTCTCCAGCTAGTGGCCTAGACACTGCTTCTGGAACAGTGCCTTTGCTAAATACTTCCTACGGAGGCCTGTCCTTGCTGATGCCCCCTCCCCTGCACCAGGCAACATCCACCAAGTGGATGAGCCTCACCTCTGCTTGTGCCCAGGCTCTGCTTAACAGCCCAGATCCTTGTGGCTCTTGACAGTGAGACACAAAAGTAAGCCACAAGAAGTAAGAATTTGGAAATGGGGATTAAATCCTCTGACTTAGATGCTCCTGCATACAGCCTTGCAGCCAGACCACTAGAGTTTTTGCTTCATGAAAAGGGGCTGAGCACATGTGAGTCATTCTCTAATTCCCTTGGGTTTTCTCATGACCTGTTTTAGAGGGCCATGCGTGAGCAGAAGATGTTTGTGCTGCCTGACCTCACAGTTTGCTGAGATGCCTGTGTGCTCCTCAGTGCTCTGAGCTCCCCACAGTTTGCTGAGATGCCTGTGTGCTCCTCAGTGCTCTGAGCTCCCCACAGTTTGCTGAGATGCCTGTGTGCTCCTCAGTGTTCCTTCCCACAGGCCGGCTTTCACTGCCAGGCCAGGCTGTCTCACCCGTTTAGTCCTAGTCTCCGGTTAAGACTTGCGGGCAGGGATTCTGCCTAGCACACGGTTCTTGCTTTGCAGTTTCTTTTGAATTAATGTACCGGGGGTGGATCACATCCCGTATAGTCCACAGATATGTGTTGGCCTTGCATGGCCCTGGCACATGGCCATCTAGGAGGGTGCACATTGGTCTAGGGATCTACTGCTGTTAGCTTTCAACTCGAAAACTTATCTCCCTCCACCTAGACTGGAGGAGGGGTACCCCAGCTGCTCTTGTGCCTGCAGGCTGCCCCTGTAAACCCAATGTGGGGCAGACCCAGGGCTAGAGAGCTGACAGAAGTGAGTGGGGTGCAGGTGGGAAGGTGGCCTCTGTCCCTTCTTGGTGTGGTTGCCCATCCTGCACAGGGTGGTGTTCTGGAAGAGGAACAAGGGAGATGAGAGGAAGTTTTCACCCCAACTAGTTCCAGGTGCCAGCCTCCCTGCATTGGGGGGGCCCAGGAGAGTGAGCAGAGGAGGCAGTGCTGGGAGGGGACATAGTGGCCACAGGCTGCAGGTGCAAGAGTCCAGATGAAGCAGAAGGACCATACTCAGAAGCTCCTATTTCTTCTGAGTGCAGTTACTGTCTTAGTTTGACACTGATTAAACAGCTGAAAACCAAGCCCTACCCTTAGCATGGTTCCTGGTCACCGTGGAGGTACTCTGGAGCAATGGTTCTCCACCTTCCTGATGCTGTGACACTTTAATGCAGTTCCTTATGTTGTGGTGACCCCCCCAACCATAACATTATTTTCATTTCTACATCATAACTAATTTTGCTACTGTTATAAATCATAATGTAAGTATTTGCTTTCTGATGGTCCTTTGGGCGTCGCAACCCATAGGTTGAGAACCACTACTCTGAAGGGTTCCTCTAAGCAAGCAAGCCCCTGTTTCTTTGGGCCCCTGCAAAGCAGAAGGCAGAAATCTAATCATGTATGTCCTTACCAGTACTGACCTCCCGTCAGCTCTTAGCTGGTGCCAGAACTGTTTATGATCAGTTTCAACATGGGTGTTTATTTCAGTAGCCAACAGTATGGGCTTGGGTTGGAAGGGTTCCTGTCAGCCCGGTAGCATCATTTATTTCCCTGACCCTGGGTCCCACAGCTTTAGCCTCTCCCTGTCCCACTCCAGTACCATAAAGTGCTCTGTGGGGAGCCTCTGAAGCCCTGCCTGTGGTTTCTGAAGCCCCTTTGCATTATCTGCAGCCCAGCCGCGAGATACCATGGCAGTTTCTGGGGGGCAGGGCTGAGAGGCTGGCCGGCTGCCCACCTCCACCTCTTGTGCTCTGACAGCCCTTCTCATGTACCAGACCTCTGCTCCCAGGCGCCGTGGGCCCTTTGCTTCCACTGCAGCCCTCCACCCTGTCGGGGTTCATACTTACACCTGCCAGACGCCCTCCCCCTATCTCTTTCCTAGTCCCTGCCTTCCTCCTCAGCCTGGACATGCATTTTTCTCCTCAACTTCTTTCCCAAGTATCCTGCCCACGTGTCCACTCCTCTGACTTCCTGGTCTTGGTGAGGTCTCCTATTCATGGGCTGCAGGTCAGTAGCCTTACTGAGAAGCCCCCTGTATGTTCCTGCCTCTGCTTGGGTGGGGCCTTCGGTACCTCCAGTTTAGCTCTCAGTGCCTGAGAGTTCCTGGGCATGGGAGAATTCCTAGGAGCTTCTGGCTCAGGAATCTATGTTCCAGGGGAGCGAGGGTACCCAAGTCCTCAGGTTCACCAAGTCACCAAGTCTAAGCTTTATTTGACCTAGAAAAGTCTGACAAACACTGGCTACTCAGGTGCACACAAGGAAGAGGGACCATGGAGACTGGGCCAGCTACCAGAATGTTTGCAGGATTCTTCAGAACCTTTAAGACCTCCCAGGAGAGCCACAGCTCCAAGGTACTCAGAGCAGAGGGCTTTCATCGTCACTGATACCTAATGGAGTTATCCAGAGTAAGAGAGACTGTGTGTGTACTTGGTTACCACCACCTCACATCTCCCCACTGTCTTAAAACCCCCAGGTGCCTTTAGGTGTATGCTGCCCTCCCTCTAGGTCATGTAACAGCCCCTTTATGTACCAGTAGTAGTTCAGGTGGTTAAACTCTCATGTCACTCCCATACCTTAGTTTCCAAGTCTGTAATGTGGACGAAAAAGGATACCTGCCCAAGGTTTTGGTGACGATTAAAGGATATGGGCATGAAAATCCAGAGATCAGCACCTGGCTGCAAGTTCTGATATCTATTCGCTGTTAGGTTTATTACAGAACCTGTTAGGAGAGAGCCTTGGCATGCACCAAGCAGCTAGGCTCTGGAATGTTCTCGTCTCTTGTGTTGGTTTTCTCTATTCTCTGTACCGTGTGGATGCTTGCCGTGTCCTTCTGCCTGGACACCTGGCAGTGCTTTCCTAGTTTTTTCTTTTTCTGCCCTGGGCATCATATCTGGGGCCTGTCCAGTTGTCTGCTGGCCTGCCTCAGACCCACATCCTTATCTAGGGCCTCAAGGTCACCAGAACTTTCTAAACTGGATCACAGTAGATGTATACAGTAGATGCAATACTAGCCGTCCCATTTTACAGAAGGAAAAATCGAAGCTTATGGAAATGAGGGACTTGATTAGGGCCAAATAGAGAGAGTAGCAAACCCAGAACTGCCAATCTCTGTCTGACACCTCTGGTTCTAGTGTCCTTGCGCTTTATCACGGTTCCCAGGGTCCAGGAAAGGGCACAGCAGTAAAAGGGGAGGAGCTCAGTATTTCAAGCCAGACTTGGTGATAACTATTTTGTGTTGGAAAATCTCCACCTCGTGTGGCTTCAGTTTCATCTGTAGCATGGATCATTAGTGTTAGTGTGAGAATCAAACAAGGCGGTAGAGACCAGCACTTAGCCGCGCCCAGGTGATGGGGTGACTTGGTTGTCACAACTGTTATGGAGGCCAGTTTCAGTCAGGGTCCAGCCTAAGCAAGAAAGTAGGGGGAAGAGAAGGAGGGTTAGGGTGAAGAGGACGAAATGGTGCCAGCAGCCTGACTAGAATATGGTTTGGGCTCCATGGCTGTCTGCCTCAATGTGGCTCAGTTGCCTTAATCTACTCAGCCAAGCACAGCGACAGTCATGCAACAGGGCCACAGTAAGTACTCGCTCCCACTAAAGATGAAGACAGCGCTTGCATTCGACAGCTAGTGATGTAAGAGTCATCTGCTTGAGAGCTGTAACTCAGTGGGTGACATGCTTGCTCAGTGGCTAGCATGCTCAAAGCTCAGGTTCAATCCCCAGCACCAAATAAACAGCACATTGGTGCACATCTGTAATCCCAGCACAGAGGAGCTGGAGGCAGGAGGATCAGAAATTCAAAGTGCCACATGCCCATTTAGCATTCGTGACACAAAGACCTTCATCTTTCCAAGATGGCCCCTGGGCTATCTCATTGGCATTGGCCACTTCCTATAAGGAGACCCAATTCCATCTAATCCCTTTGCTCTGATTGGTCAAGTCAGAGACACCCATCCGCAGGAACAGAGGATGCCTCACCATCATCTCAATAATATGGACCGCACCTGGGTGGGAAACAGAGGCCCTGTTCCCTGAGGCGGGAGGAACTGATGCTAGCCAAGCAAAACCAGCCAGAAAACATAAAAGAGGCATGCTAGCTCCGTGCTGGAGATTTAGAGCAGGCACTTGGCACACAAAGACCCAAGGTTCAGGTCCCAACACGGAAGCAAAACAAACATACCATTGTCTCAAGATGAGGTGGTAACAAATTGCAATTTGTACTCATGTTGAAGTTCACTGCGTATGTGGAAATACAAAGGCAGGCAGAAGGAAAATGGAGCTGAAGCAGAAGGAAGAAAAGGGGGGGACTCGGTTCTACTGAGTGAGGGCAGCAGTCAGAATGGCCTTCCTAGAGAAGATGGCTTGAATTAGACCTTGAACGGTAGACGGTTCAGACTGTATCCATCAAGAGAGAGGGAAAGGGCCTGCCAGCAGAGGGGACTGCACAGACAGAGAGTTCTAATGTCCCGAGGAAGGTAGACC